ACTGGTAGCCGTTTAATGCATAAACTCGCTTGCAAATTACTTTCAATTGTTAATTGTTAGAGGTGATTCCTACCGCTTATCTACACGATGTAATACAAATTTACAAACATGTCAAAAACTTTAGATTGTCCTTTAGTCTTCTCACGTAACGTCGAACCACGCCAAATAGCGGTGGTTTTCACAAACTTCCAAATACTTTTCAACTAGGGTCAATATCCACTTTATAAATTTTATCTCAGCAGCGAGTTTTGTGACCCTATGGCCTCCAGCTAGTATAAATAACTCTGAAAAAGTTTTGTATAAAACTGGTGGAATTTCACAAATAACTGAGGCCGTTATTGGTAAACTGTTTATTTTGTGGCAAAAATGTAAATGGAGGTTTAATTAAGCAGCAATATAATTGATATGCAAATTTGTTTGAGACATCTCACAAACGAAGCGCCTTTAGAGGGCTCATTGCAAGCGCTCTTCTCTATTTTCCTGTTTAGTTGGCAAGATTCAAAGTTTTTTTATTCCTTTGCTACACTAAGAATTTAAATTTTAAAACTTCAAAAGTCGTAGAAATCCCAAACATTTTCTGTAATTTAATTAATTTGCTTTTCTTTCGCTCGAACTAGTACGGCGTCACTAAAACTATGAAAACTATATATTCCATTTAATGCTTTCGGACTGGTTAAACTGAAAGACATTAAGCTAGAGATGCTTTTTAGTCAAGGCGGAATGAGATTTATGGTGCTTATATAATCATACTGCCTGCCCATGACTTTCTTTAATCTACTTTTTCTTTTGAATGTTTAGTCGGTTTTCAGGAAGGAAACTTTTGAAGATTCATTTTTCGGCCAGGACTCTGGCAAACAGTCAGATAATCACTGTTATTTATCAGAAAGCGCTTAATTATCACTTAAAAGTTGTTGAATAGACTAACCCATCGTACCTCAGCTATAATCCGGTAGTTTCAAAGAAATGATTGTTTTAATGATACCATCTTATCAGGCCGGTTTGTGCTCCAGGTGTTATTAAATTTGTCAACTTAGTGCGCTTACCACAAGTCGGAATTGGCCGGTCAGACGAGTCATTTTGAAAGTAAAAAGTTAGCCTTTTCTCCAAATTTTCCCTAAAAACTCACTACTGCCGAGCATAGCATTTAACAATAGACTGATCTGACTTGATAGTCCTGAATAATAGTGGAATTCTCTTTACGACTGGGCTGGTCAGACTGGCCAGTTATAACAAATGGAAATCGCCATTAGTGTCAAAAAGCTTGGTTGAATGGCTGAGATTGAGTGTTATGCTATCTAAAAGCCTTAAGCTGGAAGAGAAGATGGTGACGTCGTAAGAGGAGTTCGCCCTGAGAGGTTCTTTTACCCGGTTCCTATTATAGACTGATGCTAAAACAGCCCGAAGCAGGCCGTGTCTAAATGGGTTAAGTGATGTTAATGGTACTTCTTAACACAAAAATGAAATGAACTTGAACGGAGCAAAAGGAAATAAAAAAACTCAGTTGAAAATGTCGGATGAAAACAACTCCGAAGAACACATTCCCCTTGGTTAGTAACAGAACAAATCTAAAGAGAAGTCATCGCTGACATTTTGGTTTAAGTTAAAACCATTTTCAAGGCGATGAAAATTTTTTGCAAACTTGCTGAGCAACCGGACGTTGCTTAAGGTAACCGCTAAATAGAGGTCCACTTTTCAAGGGCAATTAAGGAACTCAGTGAACAATTTCCGGAGCTGATACCAAAATTAGCCAGTCTGTAAAAAATCGACTAGCGTAACCAGTTTAAAACGGATTAAGCCTGGAAACAGTAAGGACAGGACACAGTAAACCGCGCGCGCTGAAATAGAAGACTACTGCAACACGTGCCTTAAACGCACGTGTCTTGACATTAAAAAGGTCACAGAACACGAGAGTTTATGCTTCTTTGTGAAGAGGGGAGTTTAATTAAGGGTTGAGAGGTAATAAGCTTTTGTTTTCACTTGTTATAGATCATAACAGAATATGTGACGTAAATACAATAGATCAATGAAATAGTCATTGAGGCTTTGGGGTTCCGAAATGACACAGCAACTCCGCACACATGCATGCACTCACGTACAGATTTTTTACGTTATAGCTGGACTAAACTTTTGCTTACGCGTTAGATTTTAGGCTTGCAGAGTAATTTCTTACAACTGTTTCTTTATCAGTAAAATGAAATTAAAACGTTTAGACATTTTGTTTTCCCTGGATTAGTAGTTTCGCTTCTTGAAACAAACAACCCTTTTTTTAAAAAAGTAGAAAACAAATATAATAATGATAACCACATACTCAACTGAAATCATTTTAGTGTTCGGGAAAGATGAATGTTTTTTGGACGGGGGTGGGGGGGGGGGGGGGGGGGAAAAAAAAAATAAAAAACACTGTTTATATGTGAGGAAGGAGAACTGTTTAAAAAATTTTAATTGTTTTTATAATTTTGGGAAAAAAAAGAAAAAATTTTGGTTTAAAAAAATCAAAAAAAAAAAAACACTTTCTTTTGCTTTTTTTTTTTTTTTATTAAGTGTATCTTGAAACAAATACAATAAAGATCAAAAAAAACAATACAAACAAAAGAAAAGTTGACGACAAACATCGTGATGAAATATGTGGTGGATGGAGGGCAAAAAGAACTGGTTTGTAGGGGGGGTGGGGGGTGGGGGGGAAGGGAAACAAAAAATATAAAGCACTGTATATCATCGATGAATGATACCTGTTCGAATCATTTCATATGCTTCGATATATTTGGAGAACGAAAGTAAAACATTGAGCTTAACAAAATCACAACAAAACATACTCTTTCTTTGTGCTTTGCTTGTTTGTTATCTTTCTGTTTTTGTGTTTCTTGGCTGCTGCTTGCTCTTTTTGAACAAATTCAAAATATATTGCTTAATCAGTAATATTGAACGACGAAAATAAGAAGTTCCCGGAATGTTTTGTGCTTCTTTGAGTTGTCATTCGTTTCCAAAATATTGTTTTTGACAGGATAAAAGGATTAAGTTCCTATTGTCGTCTTTCAAAAATTACAAATATTTCTTCGCTAAAATGGTACCTTGCATTTGATAAGATTGTTTCAAATTAAAATCTTTGAAAAAATTCCAGGTTTATTACCAGAAACTAAACTGCGAAAGCAGCTGTCAGAATCTTTCCGATTGCGCATAAGTCACCGCGAATCACTATCCCGCAAAAGACGGAACTTGAACACTTTGATAATTTCAGAAGCCTTGTTTATTTGTTTTCATGACCTAAGTTATGATATTGCTTGTAAAATTTACCTAAAAGACAACTGGAAAACAGTTTTACCGTTGTTAAACAATAAAACTCTATGTGATTGCCTTCCAGGTTAATTTCAGTATCTTTGTTCTACGTGCAGAAGTGCCACAATAGTAGGTTGTTGCAAAAACAATCTTTGCCAATGAAGTGCCTGCACGCAACACTAATACGTTTTTTTGTACCTAATAATTCAGGAATAGCGGTTTGGTCGGAGAGGAAGCTCTCATGGTACTTTTTGTTAGGTACTTCAGCAGCCATCGAGACTTGCGTTTCGGCTGCGCTTGCGTTTTTTATCTCGGGGAGAATTTTTTTCCTCCTTGGAAAAAGTAACTGAGTACGTGAAAAAATGAATTTTCAATAATTCCTGCCCAGTAGATGCCAAATGGATTACAATCATTATTAAGGGAAACTTTTTGTTCAGTTATATTTCCCATTGATTAAATTATGAAAGTGTTTTATGTAGTTTTACATTCCTGATATATGGTAAAGACGACAAAACCGTGTTCCTCAGCACTTATTTCCTAGCTTTTTTCATTCCCGTCTAAAAGAAAGGAGGGGTAATTACGTGCATAACTGAGTACGTCATGGAGCGTGGGTTGTAATTTCCATGGTCGTTACGCTGAGTCTGATAGTTGTTTCTCAGAGTGACATATTTCGTTACTCTGAGTATAGAATAACCTCAAAAAACTTTAAGCAATAACTCTGGTCTTAAGTCTTAGTCTATTAGAACAGAGATAAATATAAAGACTGGCGCAAATATACTGTTGCCTTAGCTTGCTGAACTGACTACAGCAGTGATCAGTACACCTGTCATATCTTTTCCTTAGTCGACAATTCACGAGTGCCACCACCGTTTCAACTGAAGTTTAATCTTTGTTACAAAGAAGCTATTACCTAAAGTGGGAAGCGGTATCAGAAAGAGATAATGCTACTTGTTTACTCGGTTTAATCTCTGTGTAGTGAAAAAAAGATAGTGTCCTTGGAAAGTTAATCTTTTTACCTTTATTTTCTTCATAATCTTCGGGCGATGGAAGACCTGATGCTTTGCAAAAATTTAACAACAAAGAAACTCAAACAGGATTAGTTAACTTCGATGATTCACAATATTCGTGCACTGGTCTGGTAATTTTTTTAGTTTATATTTTCCGTAGTTAAGAAACAAATCCAACACCAGAATTTTACATAATAGACATGTCATGGTTTGAGGAGAAAGCTGAAGCAAACAGAAATGACATTCGTACATGATTGTCAGTATACAATTTTTATTTGGGTAGAAAGAATACATGGCAATGTTTTAAAACTCTCATGAAACTAAGGCGGTCGTGTTAGTCACAGGCACACGATTACGTGGGCTTTAAGTAAGCATGCTCATTCAGCTCGAGAAGTAATATAAGTCGACATAATTTGACGATACTCGGCCTGATCAGGAGAGAACTTAAATGCGAATCAATACTATGAAATATCATAAAATGTGTTATTTATACCCCCCCGAGTGTTGAAAATTATTTGATGAGTTTTATAAATCTTAGTTTTACATTTTTGTGCTTAATTATATATCTTATAAATTTTAATGTGGAATCTTTTGTGTCGCGAATACCGGAAGAAATTGTTAAGTACGTCATACTAGTTTCAGGGAGGGCCTCTCTATCACAAGAAGGCTCTCAGTTGCCAACCCTAATTTAAGACTGCAAAAAAAACGCTCGTCCAATTTCTAAAACCGCACAATCATCGAGTTTTAAACTGATTTACTGCACGCTTAACAGTCTCGAAGCCAATGAAAGTATTCCACGCCTGACTGCAACTTGGCTTGTTTCGTTTTCTTTGATTAATTGTACCCATTTTGCATTGTTTGTACGATCGGCTCAATATAAAGGTTCTCGTTTCGTGACGCGAATAATTCCAGCATTCGTGCGACACAAAACACTGGAACGGTTATAATTATCTTTGGTCTGACGTAGGTTGTTTTACACCCACGCAATAGAAATTGCAGCAATAAAGAACGGCGTTTAGAGGGCAGGAGACATTTTCTACGGTGACACCATGAAGACACTGCTCACCGCATCTGTTTCTGGAACTTTGCCGTCGAAGGACGGAAAAGACAATGAGGTTAGTGGTTGAAATATTGTAATATCCAAGCCTTTTTGGTTGATTGACCCGTACCTCGCCAAGCCACAAACACCAATTCCCCCGAGAAAGTTTTAAAATCGCTCATCTTTAACAACAACGCGTAGGGTAACTATAAACTGATAAACCAAAACATTGAGCTGTCCTTTAATGGCGAGGTTATTGTCATCAGGTTGACAAACTAAGAATCTTTTTGTTTTGTTTTGTTTTGTTTTTTTCTGTTGCTCTGCAAAAAATGTTAGTAGTAGACATCCCTGTATTTGGAGATATATTTTCGCAAACGAAACCATTCATTTTTAAGTAATCAGAACAAGTTCCTTTACCCTGAGCGCTGCTGCAAGGTAAGGTAGTGCCTTTTAACATTAGTTAGCGGAAACAGCTTTTGATATATTTTCCCCATTAAACCGGCGAAGTCGGATGCTGCTGACTTACATCAACTTATACAATTCTTTCATGTCCTTTAGGCATACAAAATCACAGTCATGTTCTCGGATGGCAGCAAAACCCTGCTACGCAAAAAATACGAAGAATTTGTTGATTTGCAGGTTTGTTTACTTCTCTAGCAGGTTTTTGTATTTGATTTCCGAGTACTTGCATGATATTTATTAACGGGCGATTATGCTAAATCTTGATCATTGTTAAACACCTAGAATTCAATGCTTTTTAATTGTTTGTTTATTTTGATTATTTGAAAAAAATCTCGTTACCTTCAGGAAGAAAACAGCTTAACGCAATCTTTGCTCACTTATTTCATCGTTGCAAGCTTTACCTAGTAATGTTAATTGCTCACATCAAATCAAAGTTACTTGAACTGCAGAGATATCTAGTTCAGTCAGCCGTACATAAGTTATGCAATATACAGCTGTATGATAACATCATGCAACATGCAACGTCAGTCAATAGTCAACGATATAGCCAGCTTAGGTCTTTCTTATGTACCTATCTTAAAACATTTCGCATGTACTTAGGAAACTTGCTTAAATGCATGACGGATTAGACCAGGGTTGAAATGAAATTTTTACGATTGTTTCTTGGGGGCATAGAACAAAGAATGCAACACGTGCCAAGCAGTACAATGTCCGGCAAGGGCCAATCAGAATGCGAGTCCAGCAGTATCCAGGATGTTTCTCACGTGAACCTCATTTAACGTCGGACGTAGACTAGTTTTCGTAGCAAGCGTTTCCTTTGGGTTTCGGAGAAAAGAAAGACCAGGGAACGGGATTTTCGGTTTTGGCCGCGCGAAAAATGTAACGAGAGACAGAAAATGAAAGAGGGCGATGGGGAGGGGAAGGAAAGAAACCCTTACCTTTCGTCCCACCCCCTACCTGCTCTTTTACTCGCGCAAGTTTTCGCCCGGTCTTTGACTCTAGTTCCTCGTTCTTTGCTCCGAAACCGCACGTAAACTCTCGTTACGCAGGTTAGATGCAGCAGCTAACGCCTTAATGACGTTCGGCACAGACAAATTTAAACTCTCTGTTTTGTTTGTTGTTGTTGTTGTTTTTTTACTACCATGCGTACGTCTGACATTACATGTTAAACAACGGGCCCCTGTGGCTCAATGGTAGCGGAGCAATCAGAACTTCTCTGTTAAGAGATCTCGGATCAGTTTTTCTCGAAGTTGCCTGGGTCACTTATTGAAGAAATATCATTTTCATGCTGTCCTAAGCTTGAACACAAACCCAGAAACATTTCAATGTTGCTTTCTACTAAAATTTTTGTTTGTATTATTTTTCGTCTGACTCTCGTTTTCTAACTTCGCTATTAGGGAAAACTAAATGCAGCTTTACCGTCCTGGAACACTGCAAAATGTGGACGCATTTTGCTGTTTGGTCTTGCTGCCAGCTAAGCCTGTAACGCCACAAAAGTACCTGGACATGTTTTGAACTTTAATGTTGAGTGGGCTTTATTCTTTTTATCGATTGTTTCCAATTGTAGGTAACAGTTTATGACTTATTAAAGCAAAAAGGTGGCTATTCGAGGAAGACGTCTCGGAGCCTTGTCTCCAGCTTACCAGGTATGTAAGGTAACAGATAGCTTGAAGGTTTACTATGGGACAATAACTTCAAACAGCAATGACAAAAAAAAACACAAAGGCTCTATGTCACACACGAACTGATTGGCGGCTCAATTAATTGGGTACAATTTCGGGGCGAAAGGTACGGATTCGTTTTCCTACCGGCCAAAACTCAGAGTCTTAAGAAAACTGACGAAAAGATACTGCCGTTAGTATCACATCTGCAAATGGACTATCATAAGAGTCTATCAACATCAACACTTAAATTGGAGGCCAGCTCTCTTGCGTTCGCCTCAACGAAATGTGGTTGAAGCGTTCTAAATGAAATTAAGTACGGCATGTCTATTAAATTCTATTTTTTCCCTTGTGCGCGTGCGCGATGTAACTGAATCCTTAAGCTTCTTTTTTTTGCAGAACTCAATTCGCCTCTCTCGAGAATTATGTTCAAGGACAATGATTTGAAGAAGATGGGAAGAATAGACGAGTTTATGAGGGTAAATAGTTTGGATTAACGATGATGTTTAACTGTCTGGCTTAGTTTAAGGTGTTAGAAGGCACATCATTGCTCATTTCGAAGAAGAATAACTCAGTACACCTAGTTATTTAGGAAGGCATTTTACATAGAGCCTGTGTGTGGTGGTCATTTTTTGGACTGAGACATATATGGCCCCAACGATGTCTGACAGTCTAAAAAGGGCTTTGTAGCATAACAGACAATGAGGAACCAACAAAGTGCTTTATTTTTCTAGGAAATGTTGACCCTTCCAACTGTGGTAAGAGAATCAGAAGCAGTCATGAAATTTTTTGGTGCCTTCATGGAACAGCAAGAAACTTCTGAACGGTGAGGTTACATTTAATTAACATCTGATTTCACAGATTAGAGCTAACCTAGGTATAACTTGCCGATAAATTTTGCTATACGTAGTCAACTCTCCTAGTTCTCTTAGTCAGCATAAAGGACAGCGTAATATAACACTACTTCAAGTTTATTCACACGTTCTTAGGCGGGAAAAGATTGTTTGCTTGGCAATGAGTTTAAGTTATCCCTCTCTTGAACAAGCTGATCCTTGGTATTTCAAACATGATAAGACGCCTACAAGGCCATATATTTGACTAGATAATTGCTAACGAGACAACTTTTTCTTTATCAATTTTCATATCTAGTAATGAGTATGAAGAGGAGTTAAAGAAGAGCCATAAAGAGGCGGAATTGCTAAGTGGTATGTAAAACCTTCCTGATTGTGTTAGAGATCGAGAGAAAGAGAACCAATCCACAGCAAGGTCGTTGCTCACAAGAAAATGCGATAATATCTCTTTAATAGGTCGAGGCCTCTACACTATACCTGGTAAGAGCCCAGTGCCAAGTCGAAAGAAAATTGGATACAACGATCCGTCATGGATGCCGGAAGACATGCATTTACTTAGCAGAGAAAGTAGAGAGAATCTGTTGAAACAACTTAATGAAAGGCGTCCAAGTAAACCATTACCTGGAACAGAGAGACCGGCTTCCACTGCGACTGGTTCTCCTAGACCAGGATTGAGACATAGGCCGTTCAGCGTTGCTGTTGGCGTTGCAGACATATTAAAGGAGACCGTAGAAAATAAACCAGAAAAGGCACGTTCCCGTAGCACTGTCACTGCACCTGACTATCAGTCTCTTGAGATAGACAAGCAACAATCAAACGGTAATCAGAATTCTCCGGGTGATGAAAACTCTGGTGAAGTTGAACAAACTGAATATAAGCAGGAGGAACTTCGCACCAGAAAGATATCAACCCAAGACGGACGAAGAAGCCCGAAAAAGATTAAGTATGTGGCAGTTTCCTCATTTGCTGCAGAGGAGGACGGTGAGGTGTCACTTGAAGGCGGAGAAGAGGTCGATGTACTGCAGAAAGAGGCCAGCGGATGGTGGTATGTTAAGAACGAGCTTGGAGAGGGGTGGGCGCCGAGTGCTTACCTTAAACCAGTTCAGTTATCCAGATCGACATCTCCGGTAAATCTAGAGCAGTCCCAAGATGTGGAGAGTCAAGAACAATCCATCCAAATAGACGAACAAAGCAATATCGACAAAGAGGAACAAAAAATTTCCAGTATCCAAGAAAATCAGAAGGTACTAAGATTAACTGTTCAAAGAATTTTTTTTTTACTTATTTTAGAACAGCCTTTCCTTGTTTAGTAAAAAGACGCGTGTAGAGGACAAGAACAATCAAGTCTGGATTACGCCTAATTAAGACGCCGCGCGGTTTTCTTTTACGTCAATGTGGTTAAAACTTCCGTAAAATGTATTTATTTCTCACTCAAAGCGGTTTTTTCTTCGCCAAAAATGCATAAATTTAGTATACCATTGCTAACAAATAAAGCAGCATTACTCAAAAATTGAAACGTTGATACTTCATTATATCTAATTGACGTACCTGGCCTTAAATTGAGTGATTCTCCCTTAGCTTTTATTTATATCTTTGGCAATTATGAACAAAGATATAAACAAACACAACTTACTTAAACGAGTAAACGAAGTAGACCTACAATTAAAACGAAAAGTATTCGCTGCTTAGTCACGAAATGGTAATGATCTCGCCGTGTGGGGGTTGATTGTTTCGTTGGCAAATATGCTGATAAGATAGCGAGTTATTATATTGCATTTAAGGAATAAATGATAAATATCAAAGGACAAAGCAGAGAACACAGTCACGAAATTGATGGTTTGTTCTCTCTTAAGGTTCGACCGTTAATGCTATGAAACTTCTAGGTCATGTCAAACCAGAAGTGAATAAAGAAGTAGATTGGGCCAGATTTTCAGCATAATAAAGTGTTAATTTGATAACATGCCTATTGCGGAAAATGATATTTTAGTGGCTTACTAATTGCTGATACTAGTCGCCATAGTGTCATTAAAAAAAAAACCAAATAAACAAAGCATCTTAATAACTATCACACCATGGCCATCATGAGATTGCAAACGAAAATTATTTGCTGGTTGACGCCATTTCCTTTTTGATTAAGCCATTTGCGGTAAGCGGCGAGGTAGGTGTCTATTCATAAAAAAATAACAAATGTTCTTCTTCTCTCACATAGTCTTTGAATCGAAGCAGTGAAGAAGGGACGCAGAAGGTATCAGGCGAAATGAATCGTCGCGTCAAGTTTTTGATGGTTGAAGGAATCCAAAAGAGAAAAAATCCAGATAAAAATTACGTAAGTACTGGCAAGTGTTTACCACCAGAATCGTATCGATTTTCCAAGATTATCTCCATCCTTGGTTTTTCAAAAAGTAATCAAATAAAAGTACTCTCTATTCATGTGTCAGAATGATTCGAAATGCTAAAAAAGATAGGGTACAAACCTAACTAATTCAGTTTCTTAATTAGAAGGCCGGACTTACTTTGATTTTTGTTTTTAGGTTTATATTCTAAAGGTTGTATGGTCAGATGGGGCTATCAACATCATATACAGACAATGTAGCGACTTCTTCTTTCTACAGGTAAAATCATCTTTAGATGTTTTTTCATGCAGTCCCTTTTCAAAAGAAGCCACCGTTGCGTGTTTTTCCACGAGAACGTTATGTACGCGGAGAAAGTATTCTAAACCGACAAGTTTCTCATGGTCATGTAATTCATTAAAAATACCGAGAAAACACATCAAAACCAATACTACGGCGGTTTGCGTTTATAAAGCCCCGGCTGCCTCCAACCTCCACAAGTTAACAATATCATTACTAAAAAATATTTGCAAATATAAATTGATCTTTCTTATCTGCATCGTTTCTCATTGAATCACTCTCAAGACCTGTATGATTAACGAAATTTGAAGAAAAAAATTTGCATTGATGTTCAAATATCCAATAGCTTTTATTAAAAAATGGAATTGAAGAAAAGAATTAATAATAAAATGCTTATTAAGCTCATTTCTGTCCCCAATGCGCTTTACATCATGATGAGAAAAAGAGAAAAGTAAGAAAAATCTCTAGCCTCACTTTAACTTAAGACGTCCCTAAAGTTATAGAATGTACCTACACAATATTATTCTTCCCTTAGGAAAGTCTCAAGAAAGAATTCCCATCTGCCATTGGAAAAGAAATCCCAGTGCTTAAAGGTGAGAATTGGTATTGCAACAAAAAGATCAAAAATTGACTGTTGAAAGATTAACGTAAACTTGAAGTATTAATATTTTGTTTCCATTTGTTTTTTAGGAAGGAAATTTACAGAAAATTGTCAGTTTTGCTTTAAGGATGGAACATGCAAAAGAAGGCAATTCATGAATCAATTTTGCCACGTAAGTCGTTTAAATGAGTCAGCACCTGCAGACCCTTGAAATCGGCAAGACAAATTTTTTGTGTATTTATTTTCAAGGTGGTTTCTGATTGGTTTAAATTTCTTTTCTATTTTTGATTAGGAACTTGTCAACTCACCTGACAAAATTTCTAAGTGTCAAGCTGTCATGCATTTCTGCAAGCCTCGTTCTAGTGACGTGCTTCCTCATGGAACGTAAGTAACATTCGTTATATGATTTCACCAACCTAAGAAAGACACTAAATTCTACCACAAGCTTTATTTTTAGAAGAACTCCCACCAGACAAAAACCGTAGGAGTGGAGCGCTTAACTCACACAAAGAAAGATCTGAAATGTAATGAGCAAGCCATTTTTAGCACAAAGGCAAAGTTGTTAGACTAGATCATAATTATTAAATTTCTGAAGATTTATAATTCATTCTTGCTTCTTTCTCAGAAATGAAAAGGCCACTTCCAAGAACAAAGAAGGTGAGTCAGATCTAAGTGATTTTTAGTTGTTTTATTCGATCAAAATTTGGATAGCCTCTATATTCAAGTATCCATAAAAACGAAAAGGAAATAACAGTATCTCCGTATTGCAGGTGACGGCAGCGACAGTGTTTCCATATCAGGACCTGTGGTATTTGAACAGTATATAGTCATTGCTGACTACCAAAAGAAGAACAGGAACGATATTTCTCTGACTGCTGGAGACACCGTTGACGTCGTCGAAAGAAATGAATTAGGTGAGAATGCCGCAAACACCATTAACAATTTTTAACATGGAAAACGTTACTTTTGACGAGTTCTTCCAACACACTTGAATTCTAATATCACGGAATTATTTGCATTTACTTTTGATGAGTGGGTTTCCGAAGTGGTTTTGCCTATTGTTAGAAGGGGGTGTTTACTCTAAGTTCATACTTGCAATGCCCCCACGCTTACTGTTAAGCCAAAAATCACAGAAAAGCACCGTCCCAGGATTTCAGCACAATGGCTTTAAATAATAATCATCTTAACGTAAAATTGCTTTTTGCCAATAACAAAGTGCGCAATAAAATTTTATCCGGCAATGTTAAATAACCATACTGCAGGTTAAAAACTTTATTGGCGTGAAGTGCTAGCTGCCTATCTGTGCTTCAGTATTTCGTAGTTTTCAAAACTCAGCGTTTACTATATCTCCTTAAACCATGCAGGTTACATCATAACAACTATTTGAACCTTTTTTTAAGGTTGGTGGTTAGTTGACCGTGAAGGCGAGTTAGGCTGGGCTCCTGCTTCACATCTGGAGCCTACTGATGATGGGGCAGAGATCACTTCCTCCAAAACCTACGCACCTGGTCAAGGTAAGCCGATTGCACATAAATTTTGAATCAGGAACACGGATTTTTTACATGTTTGAACCAAACCATACAACAGGTGAGTATTGGCAAGAGTCTTCTGTGAAGCGAAACCCTACTGTATTCACTAACAAGACCACCGCCTTATTACACCACCTGTGAACAAAGGGCCACTTATTCATTTTCTCAACAGAAACCTCTTCAACACGACCACGTCGTCAATGCGAAGAGATTCGATTGCCCTTAGGTGGTTCAAATAACGGCGTGTTATTGTACTAATTATCAAATAGATTACTGGAGACATTCATGTTTATTTTCATCTTCTGCAGAGGAGGTGTACCAATCTGTGCAGAGCTTCAAAGCAAGAGCTGAAGATGAACTCTCTTTCGATGTTGGTGTTATGTTGAAAGTTGTGGAAAAAACTTTGGATGGATGGTGGCTCGTCAGGTACACGAAAATAAAATTTCCTCTAACGTTTCCTCCACAGTAAAACATCTTTGAGCAGTTCCATTTTGCCCACATAGGAGTAGAGTAGGAACTAACCTGGCAGTATTTTCGGTTTCCGTATTTTCTGAGTGTTGAGAAATTTGCTCCTTACCAAACAAACCCTCAATTTGCAGAAGTCTTAGTCACCTGGACTGTCTTTGCCAATCCGGCATGGTTGGCCTTACTGTAGCCAAAAACCCCGCTGTCATAGTCCGGAGACACGCAGGCTCCATCAACATGATCGTCAATGAGACGATCCCTGGGTGCAAAAAAGTAGAGCATAGCTAATAGTTATTCAAATATGTGTACTCCTCGCTTATGTCACTTTACGTTCTTTTCTTCGTTTTAGTTATCGGGGCGACCAAGGGTGGGCGCCTGCCATGTTTCTGAGAAAAGTATCTGGAGGTGATTCCTCCCCTACATCCAATGGAAAAATGGACGTATTGGATATCGTTTCCTTTAATGGAGGTAAATTATGACAATTTACGATTCTTAGATTCATTTCTCCAACCTGATATTAGTCTGTTATTATCCAAATAGTTACATTTAGGTAAGGATCTTACCAATTTCAAAAGTGACAGAAATTGAGCTATTATATCAGTAACCGAATGAGGTGTCCTTGGTTCAATTTTCGCGAGGCACGGTACCCTAAGATGGGTCTGAGGACGTCAGTATTTTTAAGTAATGACGTTCCAGTAGAAGTAAAGAAATCCTGCGAAAGTTACACTGAATATCATGTTCTAATTCCTTTTGATATGAGATCATATCAGTTCAATGACTTACCTGTATATCTTTAAATCAATTACAGATTCTGAAGATGCCGATGGAAAGCCAATCATGAGGACACCTCCCGCAAGGCGGAGCACGGTAAGAGGTCTTTCAAGGGCCAATTATTATCAAGCACAAGAGAAAATGTTTCACCTGTTTTTTCAACACCGTCAAGTCGCGTGAACCAACGAAGGTACAGGCGCGTTTTGAAATCGCGACTCAAAGCTGTCTGGATATCAGATGAAACACTTGTCGACTGTTTGATATGGTTTCTGATATATATTAAGCAATAATTCCTGAAGAAATTTAAATATCGCTTTTCAAGGCCTTTACGATCAGTATCGTTGCTTTTGATCAGTACAAGACCTTGAGCGTATATGCCACTGCTTAAAATAAGACTGCTAAGGGTCCTTTTTCACTTCAGTGGAGAAAGCTGTCACCGTGAGACTAGAGCGAACAAATGAGCAGAGAAAGATGCTTGCAAGCGCGACAAACCTGCTCGTTGTTAGCACTTTAGCTACGAAATGTCGACGAGTGGTAAAATATTTTTTTACTTTTATCCATTTTAGGTTAAGCGTACAGTCAGAAAAAAACCGAAGAGAAATTCCAATCCTGAAATCCATGAAACAACGATACCAGAAGATCAAGAGCCCTACACAACAGAAAAGAAAGATCGCGCGATATCAGTACCAGCAAGACCAATGACACCAACTGTTACAAAGAGAATGCCACCACGTTCAAAATCAAATCCCTCTCCTCGACCCGCCTCAGGGGAGATCCCGCAATGGGCACAGCATCAGACGTCTTTGGACTTATCCAGCGGATATGGAACATCTCCAAGCGGCAGTCTTTCGTCTCTTGCATCTGAAGTTTTTACGCCTGAGGAAAATTCTCCCCCTATCAAAAAATGTGCGACACTTCCTCGATTCGATCATATTGAAGACAAAGTAGTGCAGTCAGCTCCTTCTCCAACTATACCTCGCTCACAATCTGTTACATCAATGGCACAATATAAGAAGGAAATGGAGGCAGCCGTGAATGGTAGGCTACAGCCAAGCGGAAAGTCTTCAGGCCGAAGCAGCCCAATTCTAGCACCGAGGAAGATTTCCGCAACTAACAGACGAAGTCCATTGGCAGGGTCACCACCACGAATTCACGACCTCAGAACATCGCACAGAGAATCTGGCTCAGATATAGACTATGAAAATGGTTCAGATTATCGCAATGACTTAGATTCACCAAGGTATCAAGTAAGCAGTAGCCAAAATCGAAAATCTAGTTCGCTTTACAGAGCTATGTATGCATATATAGCTCAAGAAGACGGAGAAGCAACCTTTGAAGAAGGAGACTTGGTGGAGGTTCTTCAACGAAGCAGCAACGGCTGGTATCTCCTAAACACAGAAAGTGGACTAGGATGGGGTCCTTCAAATTTCCTACAGACTGTAGAAAATTAAACCTAATCTACTGAAGAAAATGACTGCAGTAACAGCAAGGTCCTTACATGATACTGCAAAACTATTTTTGTTGTTTTGATTCAATTTTGAAATTACAAACACTGAAAAACTCGTGTCCTATGATAAATAAATGCAGCAGCTTTAATTGCTAGATATGTCGTTTTGCATAACAAAATTGAAGCGCGTCGCTCCATTTGTTAAGTTTGATCTATTTAGAAAAAAATGTGCGAAAATCTCATGCGATCGAGAGGATATAAGATCTAGGAAAAGGCTTGCAAATATACTCACTTTCCTAGTCGGCTATCTAAAACTTCTAAACGATGTCCAAAGTCCACTTTGCTGTTTACATTCAAGACAAAGCTCCGCTTAGAATTATAGACCCCTCAAGAAAGACATACTCCTCTGTAATGCAGATAAAAGGACAGATACCCTGTCTTGAGGGAGTCAATTGGTCGTATTCAGTGAATAGGAGACTATACTTTTTACAAACATTGTTTTTGTCGTTCAAGTAAGTATCGAGTGAAACAAAAGAATCTTTCGTTAAAAGAATCAATGTGCTTCTGGTTGGCACATTAATATCAGTAGGTGACGTCAGTGTGTGTATCGCCATACGGCAATAGTAAGAAATCTATAATTTACCGAAAGAGATTAGGTACCATTGTAGTAAACCAATGCGAGAATTTCCGAGTCAGGAAATTTGTATATAGATTTATATTTTAACAATTGAGTAAGAGGAGAATGAAAATCAGTGTACAGTTGTCTTTAAATGTTCCTTAAATTAAAAGATTACAGAAATAGAAATAGAAGAAAAAGAACACCAAAAAAAGTTGATATTATAGACGAAGTAACGACTGACTAATCAAACCATGTTTTCAGGTACTATATGAAGTTAACGACAATGTCCAACTCAAAACTACGTGAGGACAAAGCGATTTGATTTAAAATACTATACATTATATAATTAAGTAAAGTTATTTTTATCTCATTTACAAACATGCAGCTATATATCGTATATCCTATGTAGATCTTGTACGCATCTGGTTAACTGACATATGGTCAAAATAATAAAGAAAATCAAAAACAGATTCCTGATTTCTGAGTAGCCTGTTACTAGATTAAAAAAGTTATGAAAACAATAATTGTGTTGCGCCAATTCCATATGCGCAGTATAACTTGCTCCACTTCAATCCAATCCTTGTCAGTAATAGGACAATTCATCCCCAGCCATATTTTGCTCGGCGGTGCTTGAATATAATAAACCTGTTGCATTCCAAATTTGAAAAAAATTCCCTTGGTATCTTTACACAAAAACTCTGGCAGCTGGCATATGGAAACTTCATAAACTGTCATGCCGGTTAAATGAGCGTCTAAGAGATAAGAAAGAAAATTTAGAATCAATTTCTTTAAAGAATAAAGGTCCCATCATCAAGTTAAACATGTCATCGAAATTTCCACCTAGAGATGGGTTACCGTTGCCAATTCAATACATCCTGAAAGCTGTTCCCTTGCTTGTTGCTTAACGTCCTCAGGGTATACCCCCTGTAACGTTTGCTTATGTTGAATGGTCATCACAAATACTTGTCAATATTCAAAATGGCGGACACTATCTATAGTGGAGAGAAAGCACTGGGAATGAGGCTACTGAGGTGAAGAAGGCCCTTAAGAGGACTGAACGATTTGATACCCTACCAGCTATCAAAATCATTACAGAAGTCTACCATGGCTATACCTATTACATTTTAATGTTTTTTGGGAACTTGGATGATCGAATCCCAGAAAGCCAGAATTTTTTCAGGCTTTCTTTTTGCAACTGCATACATGTAACGTATTTAACTGTGATGATCTTCTTTACACTTATTTTGAGTAAACCATGACTTGTAAACCTATTTGGAAACTCGATATTTCCCAATCCGTTGCGAGTCCTACCTGTATTAGAGAGGACTCTTTATTAGTAAAAACTCGGGATAACGGAAATCGCTTAAATCGCAACGGATCGGGAAAATAACTACAAAAGGAAGCAAGAATATATACCAAGTAAATAAGGTAAAGCGTTCTTTTATTGAAAATTTCCGCGAGTATTATCTTCTTAATTTCCCATACAAATCCTTTATATTCACGGCCATTTTGAATTACACAATACGATCAATCAATCAATCAGTCAATCAATCTTTTATTTTCCACTTATTACTAATTAAGTGTTACATCTAGATCTATAACATAATCTATTAGGGAAGGGCCATTAGAAATAACCGGAGGTGGGGTGACAATTCCCCAAAAAAATTCCTGCAAGGTAAATTTGTCTGAAAAAAAATCCTGCGAGCGGTGATACGTGAAAAAAAGATTTTTGCAGAGGAAGCGATATGCCTAGCGTTTAAGGTTATTAAATTGAAGTATGGGATAAGGGGAAAAAGGTAACATAAAACAATGCCTAAAAGATAAAGGGAATTGAAATTGTTAACTTCTGCTTCAGAACTTTTATTTGAAAACAACTGTTTGATATTCCGGAAGCCCTCCTACCCCTCCCCTAAGCCATCATTTTGCCCTAAGTGAGATGTAAGTGTTAATGTTACCTTGGGGGAGGGGTGGGTGGAAAGTTTCCCAGAAACCTAAATTGATCCAATATTTCTTCATACAACCATAGTTTTTAGAGGAGACTGGTTATGAAAAGCGGCAAACATCAATGATAAAAACAACAGTGCTGCAGTTTATGTTGGAAGCACCCTGAAAGTGCACAATCCTTTGTTTGTCAATACAATCAAAATGATAGGAATTCTTTTGAACGTTGTGCACTTTCAGGTCCACAAAAACATATAACAAAGAAGTCTGACGGGTTTCATAACCATTCCACTCAATTAACTATGATACAACAAAACATAACTAGTAATAGCTTGCTTCACGCCTACACAGTCATCATTACCAGCGCACCTCAGAATACCTGTATCACGCACTGTTAGGCACAAACAATCGTTTATTCCTAGAGGTGCTAAACTTAACTTAATTTGATATGTATATGTAATATGCAGTGTTTTGAATTTTTATTGTTATACTACTACATGAGAAATTACTGTAATTTGATTGGCTTAGAGCAGTGGTATTTCAGCCTAATTTGAAATACCTACATGTGAAAAATACAAACCTTTTGCGGGTAGTAGTATAAACAAATAATAGCATGATTTGTACGTGATATTTGGCATAAATACCACTCGTTTTTTTTTTTTTTCTCAACTATATGACTATTTCCGTCAATTTCTGGTAAGGCTCGTTGTTTTTCTCAGTGATGACGAGCTGATTTTCTTTTTGCTGTTTGAAACAATGATTTTTCAAGCCTGTAAATAAGTTTTGGGCCCTCTGAAACCTTTCAACGTTTCAAATTTAGCTTTTTTTGGCGACTCAGCCGCAGTTTTCATATGTTAGTTTGATCTAGTTTGTCTTCTTGGTGAGAAGTGACCCGCATTAGCCTCGCTTTCGCGCAAAAACAAGTACTTGTCCTAGGCCGCCCAGGAAAGAGGGGAATACGAAACTCGCCTATTAAAGTGCTACTACTTTTTATTTAGCCTGTGAGCAAGCTCTCCTATTTGGGCAAGCGAAGCGAGCCTCGCGAGAACGCGCGAGCGAGACTCGTTCCACTCGCCCAAATAGGAGAGCTTGCTCGCAGGCTACTTTTTATTTTAAATAACTATTCATATTCTGGCTCAATTGGGAAGTGGAAATTGCCAACAATAAATAACAGTATATTATTTTTTGTGTCCGAAACAATAACGACAGAAAAAATAACAAAATATGTACACCATATTCCAAAATGGAAAGTATTCTTTTGTCTTATAATAGGTTAATTGGCCCTCAATGCCACGTTTCAAGGTACCGGGGTAATAGTCTTTTTTATTTCTGCAGAATGGGAGGGATGCAATTGAGGCGTCAAGTGCGAATTAACGTTAATCATCTGTGATTGATTACTAAACAGACGCACGGCAAAAAGGAAGCAAGTGGTAAACTATAATACGCGACTCTCTTAGACATTATTTAAGCAATAGAAAACGTTTTCTGTGTTTGCATTGCCTGATATAAACACGGCAGGGGTTGGGAGAATTCGTGAGAGTTATGCAAACCCGACACGAACCCGAGACGAAGTCGAGGATTTGCATAACTGTCGAGAATTCTCCCAACCCCTCCAGAGTTTATATCAGGATATGCAAACACAGGAGAAACGTTTTTTATTGCTTTTATAAACTAATTTTCCCGGGAAAACTCTCTTGTTTAGAGCACTGATTAAAAGAGAAATTCTTACCCGAGTCGCAAAGTCTTGTACACGAAGCTTAATACCTTGTACGCGTGATCAGTCCTTGTTTTGCAAAAAAGGTGCTTTCCAAAATACGGGGTTTTCTCGCTTAAAATGTCAGCTCAAGCGAAACAAAAAAATGACACAGCATGTTTCTAAAGATTTTCCACAGATCATTCTCTCTTGGTTTCAGCCGGCAAGTAAAAGGGTAAATAAATTAATCTTGCCGAGTTTTTCAACTCAAGACATTTTTCAAATTCGTGCTTGCCTGATTAGCGCGAAAAGCAAAACATCTTGACGTCACAACCATGTTTACATACTCTCATGCAAACACGCCTCTCGGCAAATCAGAGCGCGCTACTATTTTAGTTATTTTAGAAATTAAGATATAAATCTTACGTAAATCGTAAATTAGCTCCAAAAGAAGAAATGTGTGGAAAAATAAATTCGTGCAAAGCTTGTGCCTCAAAAAAAAATCCTGCGGAAAAAACATTCATGCACCGAAAATCCCCCCCCCCCTCCCCTCCCCCTCTCCGGTTATTTCTAATGGTCCGTCCCTTAGCAGGAGATCTCTTCAAGCTCAGCTGAGCTTTTCTAGGGTTAGGATACCACACGTATTAATGATTAAGACGGAATCCATCAAGAAATTGAGTAATTTTTATTTTCAGTGGACAAAAACCTTGTACCAGAATCTATTTAAGGTGATTCCCTGGTTTTGCACTGCGCATCTCTTACTGCGCATAACAAGATGGCCTCCGTAAAAAAGCATGTGAAGTAACATTAATATATAGATTTAGCCAGGGCTAAAAGCGAAGCTCCCGTTTATAAATTCATAATTTAAATCAAATAATAAACTTGTAATCCACAGATCAGGGCACATTCATTTGACGTGTGAGGCTGAAAGGCTAAGTGATTTTAGAGAAAAATAATTTGACAGTCCTAGAGTGAAACAGCTTTTACATCGAGTTATTAAATAGTCTTATTTGTACACCCAAAAATAGTAATCATGTTCGATCACAGTAGATTAGGCCTGGAAAACAAATAGACCTACCTATTCGTGTGTTGTATATGCATTAGCTGTTGCATCATAATGTGGCATTCACCACTCTCTCCAACATTGCTCCGTTTGAGAGACTATGGATAATTGGACAACCCCGAAATATAATTTTAAGAAACACACGCGCCACGATAGTCCTTGGTGGCAGCCAATTTACACGTTGCATTCCTCTGTCTAAAAGAGAGGCCAAAATAAAAAATCAGGCTGGATTTTTTGTGTTCGACAAGTTTAGTTTACTAAAATCTTGGCGACGAATCTGGTGGCGTGTAAACCAGCCTTTTAAACATACTTTTTCTCATCACGTCCCAGGTAAACAGTACTATTGAGGCCCTTGTTTTTATCATACAGACCTCGGACAGAATTTGTTCTTTTTTGCCCTATTTAAACCTATAATTCTGCATTTTTTTCACAATTTTGCAAGAGAATTTGCACTCATTCAATATCCACGACGATCAAAGCACGCGCTTCCTTTGCACAACAAATTATGGCATTGAATTATAAAACGTTTTCATGAAGAGAATTCTATAATGCCAGGACTTTCAGTTCGAAAAATTTGGTCCTATGTGATATGCAGGGTAATATGGGTTTTTAATGAAAACGATAAAAAAATTCCCAAAATCACTTTTCGGCCAGCCGGACGGGGCTCACTTTTGACAGGCACCAAACTTGCAGTGCGATTAATAGAGTTACCATTTACGCTTCAACATGATAGATAAATTGTTATGTTTAGGTTTTATTTCCCTTTATTTATCAAACTGCGTATGGTTTTGTTATGTGTAATCTTTAAAAGCGAGTGATATTTACGCGCGGCGTTTTGAGTATTCCTGCATGAGATGTTTATGTTCGACTGGATACAACCGGTGCAGCGATAAAAATTGCGAGAGGGACTACTAACAATCAATAAAATAAATATAATTCGGTGAAACATGTACAGAGACAATAATTTTCTTCACGAAGAGAAGTATTGAGAGTAAAGTGTCTTTGAAAATCATGAGTCAGGTACGTAATAAGCTTATTTATGTTTTAAGCCGGCTTCCTGGTGTTTGCTCTTTTTCAAGATGAACTCGAGGCAAGAAAATCGCTCAGAGCTTTCTGTTTACAGCCAAAATCATAACTAAATAATCTTCGGAACATTTTCTTTGAATTTGCGGTCAAAAAAATGTCTAAAGGCTTTTTAAACCTCATACTATTGTAGGTTAGATCATTGCTCGTGTATAAACTTAAGCCGCATAAACAATACGCTCGACTTCAGGAAACCGAAAAAAAAAACACATCAAAGAGATGCTGCTTCTGAAGGTCATCAAGTGTTCCAGAATTTTCAACCCTCTTACGCCTCAAGCAAGGGCAAGTGAGTAAGCTCATTTTTGAAAACGATGCCATCCGAAATCGGATTTCCAATGACTTTGACAAGCGGTGCATTTGTCAACAAAAAGCGCAATAAACAAACCAGCCACGAATTACAGAACAATCTTGATAGCAGCTGTATTTCATTTTGTACACTAAGTAGAAAAAGCCAGTTTAAAACATCACAAGATGACACAAAACTCTGTAAGCTACAGCTATCAGTAAGCAAGTTTCCAGACGCTGCATAAATTTTCCGCATGAACTCACCTGTCAGATTTTGGCCAATCAGAACATAGAAATTGGACGTAGAGCGTGATCAACGCGTGACAGTGAGAAAAGTCAAAAGTGATTGCCTTCCCCGCATGTAAATGTAAAAGCCGGTTGTATTTCCGCGTCCGAGGTCAGTTCGCAATCAACATTTTAAAAGTGCGGCTCATGAACTCGACTTATTTCATTTCCTTTAAACAAAATTGAACTTGAGCCTGCGATAATTGAAAAGTAGCAACCTGTCAGCGGATACGTTAAAAAAATACTCAAACTCAGTGGGTCGATACCTGAGCCTGCGATAGGGTCAGGCGACACTGGTCAGCAGAAACACTATTTTGACAGCCGTCAATTAATCAAAACATGGATGAACAATATCAGGTTGCAGGCTCCCAAACTAGCTAGAAAGTATGAGATTAAACATTGGTATACCTGTAGTGCGGATGGACGGAAGGTCGGGTGGTCGGTGTACGGTCACGTGATTGCCGAATTTTCTAAGATGGATCGATTTTCTAAGCTATGGGACTTCGAATTGAGCCCGTGATCAAATAAAATATCAGCGCAAAACTTTAAACACTACGTGACCTCAATAGATAGACAAATGAGCCCGCGATACACTCAGGTGATGATGGTCAGCGTATACTCTAGTTTAACAGCTGTCAATTAACTTTCATTAAAATGGCGAATATTCGAATTAACAGACTACGAGTGTGAGTAAGACGTATCCGTCCGGCATGTAGTGGAAAATGCCATATCGTGTACCTGAGCGAACCTGAGCCCACGTTATTAGTTTTCTGATAGTGGTCTGCACATGTCCCATTTTGACAGCTGTCAATTGACCTTAATTTGGCTTGCTAATATATCTTGAATTGGTAAGTGTGACATATTATATCAGCTTATATGTAGGGGCAAAACGACTGGTCTTTCACCTGAGCCCGCGAGATAGTCATGTGATAATTATCAGCGGAAGCCTAATTTTGACAGCTGTCAATCTAATCGTACTCATACGGATAGCTTACATAACTAAGAGGCTATTCTAGTTGTGCAAGATCTATTGTGACATTTGCAATCGCCCTACATGAAGCGTGTGTACGGGTGGGCGGGCGGGCGCGCGGGCGGGCGCGCGGGCGGGCGCGCGGGCCGGCGTACGCTACGTCATAACCAAATTTTCTCAAATGGATAGTTTACCAAATTTTCTTACCCATGGTGCTCCGCTCTGCGCGCGCTTCGCGCGCGCCAGGAGCTCCGCTATTAAAATGAAGTTGACCGAAGAGAAACGCTATTGCAATTTTTGCTTGCGGTTGTTTCTTGCCGAGGTGAGACTCAATGCGGTGGGAATGTGCATAACGTAAGCAGTACGCGTGTTGCTGAGTTCGACTACCTCACGGAGAACCTCGATAGTGGATGTTTAATTTGTGCTTATTCACTTTGATTTTCATTTAAACGCTTTCTTTATCACATTGTGTCCTAAATGTGATATCCTGATGTAAATTCCGTAAAAACGGATTTTTTAATACTTTCTTCCCCCTTTCGCATACATTCTATTTTGAAACTCGCCCCAGTCCTCTCGCAAAAATGAAGGAAAAATGCATTTGGTGCGCACTTTCTGCAGCTTTACCGCAAAAACGAGTACGGTGACCCCCATTTTTTATTTCATGATTTTAATAAGGCTAGTGCTTCCTTTCAGTGAGAAAAAATTGGCACAAATCTATCTCCAGTTTTTTGGCAATTTTACTAAATTGTACGGATTGAACTATCACGTGTGGAATAGCGCGTGTCCAATTTAATTCTACTTTGGAGCGTAAAGTAAAAATAAGGGCATTAAAAGGCATTTTTCTGGTACGTAAGTGGATAAACAATACATTAAAGTCAAATTCTGTGCGATACCACATGCATCATTGAAAAAATCTTTCCTTTTTGTCTAGTTGTGGGCTGCTCGCGGTTTTTGTCAAAAGGTCCAAAATAGTCGTATTTGTCGGCATTGTGGCGTCAAAACGAGCACGGTGACCCCCACTTTTTATTACCTTTTTATCATCTTCTTGACTTGTTACATCAGTGTACCAAGTTTCATCTACAATCTATGTTAGGTTCTTTTACTAGGGAATCACCTTAACCCATATCGCATTCTTTTTCACATATTTGAAGGGCTATAGATATAATTAGCTTGCTGTAATAACACCGAAGACAATTTGTTATGGGAGCCTGAGAAAATGAATTTCAGATTTCACAGGAAAAAACGCAAGTAAAATTTCAAACGTAAGATTTCAGTTTGGTTCATGTTGCGAAATTAAAAATCTATTTTCTCGGGCCTCCAAAAGAAATTTTTTTTGGCGTTATTACGGATAACTAATTACATCTTTCGCTCTTGAAAAATATTAAAATGAATGTATAATTCTGGTACTAGATTTTTGTCCACTGAAAATTACAATTACATCTTAAACACTCACATACTGAGCTTGGGCTGCCCTTTGGTACCAGCAGATAGTTCGTATAAACGAAAAACGTTCGGCTCATTTTTAATATTGAATTACGTTGACCTATTTTCCATTTTTTCTATATTAGCCCTACGAGTGATTATATCTTGATTCTGGCATCAATCGTCTCGAACTTCGCTTTTTCTTGCTGAGCATTGTTTAAAGCCCTTGTTGACAGGGCTTTCGTTACTGGGACACCATCCCTGCTTATTCCTCTTTGCTATGTATCTAAAAATAGACTTTGATAAGACGGCGCTCACTATTAAACTTAGCTTATGGAGTCCTTACGAACTTATTGTAGCGAAATATTCAGTTTCTGTCGGCAAATAGCAACCTGTACTATATAAAAAGTTAACATTGAAATATAGTATTTTAGTTATAAGAAAATGTTTGAATCTTCTTTTCGATAAAACTAGCTAACTTTAATTTAAGTTTCCGCACTGTTTGTCGTTCCGAACTAGTACTGTGTTAATGACAAAACTAAAAACGAATAGTCTTGTCAAGTGCTGTTAAATGATGTCTCATTTAAAATTAATTTTCCACTTTCCTAGAAAGATTCCTCTTTCTAAAGATAAGTACAGTTCCGTCCATTTACACTGGTTGCAAGAAATTTGATGGACCCCAACCCAGTTGATTGTTTGAAACTAAAAGCCACCAGCCATTGCTGCACCGCTTAAGTACCTCCACTATGTCTCCCTCGTTAATGGTAATTTCGTTTTTGTCTTGAGAGATGTACGTGTATATAGCTTGATACCTCGTGATCTGGGAATCATTTTCTTGCTCCTTTTCAGAGATGGACTCAACAGGAGTTACTTTAATTTCATCAATTCTCGGCTGGGGGCTGCGTCTGGGGTTTTTACTTCTTGGTGATGGAATGGGACCTCTTCTTCCTGAGCTCAATGTACTTCCATTCACAGAAGACCCGGATGTACTCGCATCCTGTGCTAATATTGTTACAAGATTTGACCTGGAGTAAACCTTTTTTGGAGCAGTGCTTACTACACAGCTATCAGAACTACCCGGTAATGCACACTGCACAACGCTTTCCGTTTCAGGTATAGAAACATCTGAAACTAGAGAGGACAGACTGCTGCTTGAAGAGGTTTGATATCCGCTTGAAAAAGATATCGTATCTTCCTGATTTTGTTCCTTTTCTTCCGGCTTTGTTTCAATGGGCTGAGGAGGAGTGACATTTTTATTTGGCCTCTTTTTGATCGATCGCTGAACCTGTCGGAAAACGAAAAAATAGTAAAAGCAATTTTCGATGATACTCCATTAAGGAAATACGAAAAGAGAAATTACTATTTTATGAATGTTTTTAGGTGTAATGGAACTCATTTAAGGGTTTAGCTCTTATAAAAATACAACGATTATTGAAACTCATCGTTTATTAAGCTATTCATGAAATATAGAAACGATAAAAGAAGAAAGATAAAGCGATAAAAAGCAACGCTAGCTATCTTTTTGTCAGGCTTTATACAGAGGTTGACGAAAAATTGACTGATGAAGAACTTACCATACTTCGCCTTGTGGGAGGTGATCTTCGGCCTGTCACACTGTCTCTTTCTTCAGAAACTACTATGAAAACATGGTTGCATTAATCAATTAATGTTATATCATTACTGGTTAGCTCAGTTGGTTACAGTCGTTAAATATTAGACTTAGGGAGGTAGGCATGGGATCAATTCCAGCGGTAGCAGCCACCACACCAAACCTCATGGTCTTAAAAGACCAAACAATTAGTATTTGTGCTAAATTTGCTTTACGTTTGCAAAAATTTGCCATCACCATCACATTTCACCATCCCTGGTCGCAACCACTGGTGATCTACCTTTATGGAATGCGGTAATGGTAGAAGAGGGTACCCCGCATGGTACCTGTGTGTCTCATTCCTGGCCCTCCTCATAGGTCAGGTCAGAGCTCAGTAAAAAAGTATAAACATTCTAGAAAGATGGATCGCAGTTATGGGGAAGGGCGTTCGTGACATGACAACACCTGCTGCGAGGGAGACCACTAAAGTAGCCATGAAAAAGAATGAGCGACACGCCTGCCCAGCAGTTCAGTAACGCTATTTTGGGTAATGATTTTTCTATCGTAGAAAAGTATCTTGAAAACAAAGGAAACCTCGAAATATTATTTGGCCTGTGGACGAAGTAGAAAAACACCAAATAGGTAAATTTAAACTATAAAGCATTTATTATGGTTCAGTATGGAGTCGAAACTATGAGGTGTGACTGCTGAGGTCTCTTGTTAAAATGAAAAAAGTAGATCCATGCAAATTCCCTTACCTAGTTGCTACACGCAAGGAAAAATGAAATGTTCAAAACTGTAAACATAAAATTGATCAATGTAACAAATCACCTACCCCTTTCAGAGGGCACGATATCCCCCAGTCCACAAATTTTTCCACTAGATGAAGGCGAATAATCATTAGACTCAACTACTCGTAACAGAAACACTGCAGGCACCCAGCCTTCTTTGCCCTGGTATCTAAGAAGGGTAAAAGTAGATAGGTTTTAATATTGCTTGTTCTTATTACTGTTTGGCAAACTCGTTAATGCTACCTCCTGATCACTTAATATTTAAACAATTGACCCAAAAGTAACAACAGTTAGTCATTTTCTAACTTAAAAACCATGTAAATGTGACAACCCCTTAAATAGTGATCGCCTGGAGTGGGTCGGAGAGTACTTTGTGGGAGGCCTGGGGCCTACATATATTTAAGCAAAGTGTAAAGGGTGAATCACTGAGCGCTCTGTTGTAGTAAGGTGGAATCCGGTCCGGCGCTTGAAATTTTGGGAAATTTCAGGGTCATATCTGTATTCAGGCATTGTGAGTAAACCATTTTATTATTGCAGCTGCAAAAAACAGTCCATAACTGTTTACCTGGCTAGCCACCATCCATCTAAGTTCTTTTCTACAACATTAAGGGTAACACCAATGTCAAAAGAAAGTTCGTCTCCAGCTCTTGCTTCATAGCTTTGCACTGACTGATATGCTTCCTCTGCGCATATAAATTGAAAAAAAAAACATCATTATTGACGTGGTTATATTACTTATAATATGCCGCATAAAGTTACCTTAAAAGTATTATGAACGAAACTTTCCAAAATTATCGGTGTTGTTTAGGCCAAGCTTTCGATCATGATCACTTTTTATAGTAAAAAAAGACCATTCATGGAGGATGATGGGAAAGATGATATAATATCTGTTGTGCTTTTTACTTTAATTTACTCTTCATGTTTAAGTGTTTTTTCGCGTTGCTCAATCATACTTAAGGTTACATAAGCTTGTGTAACATCTACCTTGACCAGGTGCAAAGGTTCTGGAGGCAGTGATCTCTACCCCATCATCAGTAGGCTCCAGATGTGACGCAGGAGCCCAGCCTAACTCGCCTTCACGGTCAACCAACCACCAACCTTTGAAAAAAATAGTACATATATTAAATTATTACTGTTAATTGCTCTATAGATCTCGCGCTGTAGGCGCTGCCTGCGGGGCCTCGTTCCTCCATTTCTAGATGATGAATAAATCAACATTAAAAAAAATCAGCTTTTTAAAGACACAAAAAAACAGTGGTGGGAGCTTTAAGTTTCTTATGAAGTCCGGCCCCAATAAGACGTAATGGTACGTTTGGCTAAAGTTCAACTTGAGGTTAGAAGCGACCGCTCCGGATAATTGTAAAGGATTAAGACATAAAATCTAGTTTTACTTATGAATGAAACTGCTTTAGAATGCAGTAACAGTTAGATTAAGCGTTAATTGACTTACATTTAAGAAGTAAACAAAGTTGGCTGAAAACCTGGTTTCGCTTAAATATTCCTTACCAAAGTCGCTCTTTTCGATAACATCAACAGTGTCACCAGCTGTAAGTGAAATATCGTTCTTGTTCTTCTTTTTGTAGTCAGCAATGACTATGTACTGTTCAAACACCACAGGTCCTGATATCTGAACACTGTTGTTATTATTACCTGCAATGAAAAAAAGAGTTAAGAAAGAAATTCCCTCCTGAAACGCATCTTTTACATATTACACAGAAAGCACTGTTCATTCCATCATCGTCTGTTTTTAGTTTGTGTAGTTCCTTATCCTAGCTAACATGTTGGGGACATTGTCTGACAATGAGAGTACGTGGACTCAAAAGGACTGAGGCAGTTTCAATCTCTAGTCAACTGTCTGTTTCTCCTTTTGAAAGAAAAAGCGAAAAGCGCATAGTTTGCACTTGTCACTTACTTTCAATGGTCTTGTTGTTAGCTTTGCTAGATCTGGAAATGAAGAAAGTACAAAACAAAATATGAAACGAATAGTTTCCTTAAAATTTATATTACAGTCATACTGTTTTATCTCTATTTCTAACAATTTAATGCGCACCTTTCATCACCTACTTCATTTTGCCAACTTTTTATGGGTGTCAGTAAATCACGGGGTCGGAGTCGGCGTCCGGGTCTATCTTAAAGAATGCTGTTTTAGGGTTAGGGTTAGGATTAACACTAACCCTAAACCTAACCCTACCCCTAAAACAGCATTCTTTAAAAAAAAAAAAAGATAGACACCAACCCCGGCCCCAACCCAGCGTTCTACTGACACCCCTTTTTTATTTAACTAATGTCTAACAGAAATGCAGACAGAAAAAGATAACCCTCTTATTAATATAAACAAGTTGAAGAAGCAGAATTCGAATTCTTTACCTAAGCTCTTAAGTTAGTGTCTCAAATTGTATAAATTTTAACTACTTCTGGTTGAGAGACAGTATAACCATAATGATCCGACGATGAACAACGATGACGATGATGATGATGGTGGTGGTGGTGGTGGTGGTGGTAATAGAGAAGATTATGATGATGTTAATCAGAATCGACATATCTAAGGTCAGAGAGAAAGCTACGTGTGATCATCAGAATAATCAGGTTACTTACGTTTCATGAGGGCGCAAATCACTGAGTCGAGCCCGACAAAAGAGGAGGACAGCTTGGCAGTTTGAAATATCATCAGGAGCGTTGATAAGGTCCTTATAAAAAATGAAAGAAAAAAAAAACAAGGGAAAATTAGTATGAACAAATTAAAACCATGAAATTGAGCTCCTAGTAACTAGGAAAATTCACAAGATAAATAATAATTTACCAAGCCATTAGATGTGAGGAAGTCGCGTTTATAGCGAAGATATAATAGTAGATTTCCACAATTTTACTGGCCAATTTTCCTTCATCTTGTTTCTATACTCACGTGAAAAAACTTGTTCAAAGACTGTCTTCGTTTGCATGTTCCATCCTTGAAGCAAAACTCGCAGTTTTCAGAAAATTTTCTTCCTGAAAAAGATCAACGTCAAACCAGAATTGTATTGAGATGAATCAGTTTTGTAACTTGATAATGATGGCCAACCTAACTAGTTATGACCAAAACAAAAATTTTAGGTCGATCAAATGAGACAATAAAGTCAAAAACTTTTAAAGCCAACTTAAAAAGATTGACAAGCTGAAGTTCCTTTGTCGAATTTCCTCTCCCAACAACGCAGTATCATAGTTTCTTTAGCAACTAAACCCTTCATTATGACCACAGAATTAATTTGGGGAGCATTTAGGTCATTTTATTTTCTCACCTTTTAACACGGGAATTTCTTTGCCAGTGCCCTTCGGAAATTCTTTTTTGAGGTTTTCCTATAGGAAAAATAATCAATTTTCTCACAACTAACACATTTGGATATTATTTATTACTATTCCCTTTTTCGGCTGGTATAAGGATAGCTTAATTGCCCGCATTTCTGTTTGAAGCTATTTAGAGAAAGAAAGAAATCGACAATCCCGGTAGGTAATATGGAATATGCTCAATACACTGTCCCTGACACTCTAGCTGTCGAATCTACTTTTGTTGCTTTCCTCTAGCACTCGCAAACATATTTCCATGACCTCTCAATACAGTGGACTCAAAACCACCCATAATACCTTTCGGGGTTGTCGCGTGCACTTTACCCGACACGGCCTTTCTCGAAATAAACTATAGTGGGTTTGAGAGGAATTTTCAGTACATGTATGTCTTTATATCAATTAGTAAAAACAACTTCAAATTGGCTCCCAGTTTGGGTGTCGCATTGGAAACGGATTTAAATGCAGTTGAAAATTTTTTTCAAACCCAAATCCTAATAAAAGCAATCAATTTCCCAACAATAAGGAACAAATCAAATGAAATAAAGACTTATAATAACCAGGTTCTGACGTCAATGCTACTTAATAACACAGCTGACCGGACTTCATCAAACTGGCGGGTTAAGCGAAGATCATTGGATTTGAACTATCTACTTATTAGCTGCAATGAATATTTCTTTATTCAAATTTGCATCCATAGTTCATATATGATAGTTTTTTTTAATTAATCAAACGTCTGAAAAGGAAAACTGAGTGATATCGCTCGAAAAACTGTCAACGGAGTGAAAATGATTGCTGGGCACTAGCTCCCAATGAAAAAGAAATGGCGGCGACAGTATCAGCCCTTTGTTACCGGATGTTCTATAAATTATGAATAGTCAAGTCAACAATGGAATCGTCAACCAGGAAGTTTGATACTTGGCCAGTACTGAAGTGGAAACTGCTCCTTCTAAAGTCTGTACTGAAGTGGAAACTGCTCCTTCTAAGGTCTGTTTCAAGCCCTTGTTTAAGAGTCAAACTCGTTCACTCTGCCAAATATAATGCTTATGGCAAAGTCTATTGTTCTGCCTCAGTGGCATTTATTTATTGGTCCGTGAAAAGTTCGACTTCTAAAGTTGGTCTAAGTGAGAACAAGAAATTTATTTAAGACTAACTAAGGCCATTAACATCGAACTTTTCATTGATAAGACGAACCAAATTGAGCCGATCTAAAGTTCATGAAAAGTTTGACGTCTGTCTTGAGTTAAGTTTTCCCCTGCAAGGAGTTTGGATCAACTTTCAGACCCAAATTATAATTTGATAAGCTTCATGAAACGTTCCACGCCTTCGCCTAACGCAGTTATTATGTTTCAAACCTGTAGAAAGTAGAAATCACTGCACTGTCTGTAGATGATGTTAATATTTCCGTCCGACCACAGCACTTTGAGAATGTAAACCTAGACGGGAGCAAATTAGCAAAATTTTGCACTTAGGATATTTCTTAAACCCTTTTACAAAACACTGAGGCGTTCTCCAGCACTATCTGCTGAATAAGGAGAAGTAACATCTAATAAAAAAAATAAGGCAGCTATTGCATACAGTTAATTAATTAGTGTACGCTTTTTGTTGGCTTGACCTTAATAATGTATGTGTATACTGACGAGCCGTTAACTTCACTTAGGCGAACAACAGGTAGACGATAAGTAGCTCAAAGACAATAAATTGAACTGATTTAGGTCTATCGGTTCGTTAGTGGTAATCCTACTGATTGCGGGACCAATTAACAACGATCCGACTCTCCCTTTTCAATCTGACGGTAATTGGAAAATATTTGCAGAAAGTGTGACGAAAATTAATGACATTTTCTAAGGTTTTCTAATGCTGAATTCCGTTTTTATTGAAAACAAGATTAAGGCATTCTGGAATTCGCCATTCACTAGGTGATTTACTAACCAACCGGTTTGCAGTACTTACATATTTTTTATCTGGGGTCTTGCGTTTCTGAATTCCTTCCACTGAAACAAGCTTTACCCGTCGGTCCATCTCAGTTGATTCCGTTTCTTGTGACTCGTTTTCACTAGTTTGACTCAGCGACTAAGTAACAAAAAAAAAAACGCTCAGCTGCTTTTATAACCTCTTTTTGCCTTCTCTTGAGGAAGCTTGAAAAACAATGAGTTTAAGGCTATGACGTTACTTAATTGTTACTGGTCACGTTCATGTACTTCCGCACTTCTATCTATTTATATATAGAAATTCTATATATATATTCTCTATAGATATGATATTATGTTCGTGCTTTTCTACACGCCTTCTGATAGGTCCTCTAACATTTTCATACAAACATTTAATGAGATCCGAAACTAGGGGATTGCTTCTTAAACTGTAGATTATGCCTCTATGAAATCTCAGTTTTAGCTATGCACATCAACCGGGAAGAGCCTGCATGATCAATCATCAAGTTAAACATGTCAACAGGGACACTTCAGGTTTTGTCTGCGTTCTTTTCTTTGTTATTAAGTTTTGTATTTCATCATAGTTAATGCATGCTTCTCTAGGTTGTTAAAAATTCGAAATTTAATAGTCTTTACACGAATTTTCCGGACCCATAGGAACACTATTGCAAATTCTAAAGTATGGAGATCTTTTTTAGAAAAAAGAAATGCAGTTTATTTCCTTTATTGTTACTATTACCACCAAAATGCAAATATACTTTTCCCTATTACGTCATTATATTTTGATCGATTACGTTTGTGATATTTACTAAGAGGGTGTGAAGGGGGTTAACCGACTAGCGACCAAGGGCACAAAATATCACCGACCACCGACAGGAAAAATATTAACCGACTACTAACATGGACTGACATTATCTATATTTTCTTTCAGAGAGAAGAGTATATTGTATTTTTTCTACCTTTCTATGAAGTAACCAAAGATACCACGTCACAAGTCTTTTTACAAATATACCACAAAACGAGGGTATTGAAATCGGTTTGCAGAGCGTATGAAAATTTCTACAAAGCAACCCGCCTATTCCTACACATTACCTGCGACTGAAGTGCTTAGATTAATACTGAAAGGAATTTTTTTTTAGTTCAATGGAAAGCTCTACTTACAAACCCACTGTACCCCGATGGTCCTCGCGATGGGCACAAGCACAGCAGTTTCCTATGTCAACATTTTCATGCCATATATTGAAAAACAAAGTCTAGAAGCAAAACCGTCTTTAAACCAGACATCGTAACTTTCTTCGAAGAAGCAAACTTACATGATGGTCCTACTATTAAATTCACCACCGAAATTCACTGAGACGATGTTCTTAGACACAGTTGTATAATAAGGCACAAGATTCAACGAAAAAGTTATCCTTAATGTAAAGACTACGGAAACCTTCCAGCACACATTTCGCCCCTTGTCGCCCACTGATTTGTCAAAGGAGTTTGAGGAAAGTGTTTCAAATTTCGATAGAACGCTCGATGGACAGAGGCTACCGACACAATTTGAAAGAAAAATTTGACTACCGACAAAGTAACTAAATTTTAACCGACAAGCGATAAGTGGACCCCACCATTCAGACCCTCTACTAAGCCTATCTATACCCTGCTTCCGAAAACCATATCAAATTGGGCTTTTGCTCACACAGAAAAAAGACGATTTTGAAGCGAATCTATGCCACGCAAATCTTGAAAGTCGATGGCTCCTGTTGGATAGCTATCTCTACCAGTAGCAGTACGAACAGGTGCTCATACCAGCCTGGAGAATTTTTCGTGTGTGACTTGATAAGCTTTCCAGAATACTGTAGACATTGGAAGCTGGCATTGGAACTGGTGGGTTGGTTTTTAATTTCTCTGTTTTGCCTTATGCTCCCACTTCTGTTAAGTTCTACACTCGTTGTCTTTCACGTTTGCCCTTGCTCTCGATACTGCCCTACACTCAATTGCTACAGGGATTGACAGAAAAACTGAACTCAGCCGATTAAAAATGGTAAATGATAAGGAGATTATTCACTACAAATCACTCAAAAAACTGAAACCGTTTTAGAACTTTCCAAGAAGAGAATAAACTCTTATGGCATTTTATGAGAAGGACAACATAATTGACCAATGATGAGATGAAGTACCTTCTGTTTTTCTTGCACTTGGAATCCCATCTCACTCTCTCTCACGATTGTTCCTTCCCAAATACCATCCAATATTTCTTTGCATTGAGACAGATCCAGTGTTTCGGGAGATTTTGACCCGAGTACCTGAACTGGTTCAAGAAATGTTCTTGGTGCCCATCCCTCTTCCATTTCCTTTTTCACATACCACCACCCACTGGAAAGTTTCTCGAAGACTACGACTTCTTCTCCGGGTTGAAGAGATACCTCTCCGCTTTCCTCCGCAACATATGACGAGATAGCCAAATACTTTGTTCCTCTGGGGCTATTTTCACTTTGAGCTGATTTCATGTGGATACAATGCTCCTCTATTCCAGATATGGTTTCTTCTGTATCTCCACTGGTATCTTCACCTCTGGAGTGATTCTCCTTCGTCTCGCTAGGCGGCTGAATGCGCGGCGCATCAGCACTTTGCGAATGTTCCGCTTGGGTCATGTTTAAAATAAAGTTTAAGTTCTCCTTATACATCTCGGTAATGGCAACACCAACGCTAAACTTTCTCTTTGTCAAGACTGGTGCACGAGTAGTGTTTGCCCTGATACCTGGCTCAGAAATTGTTCTCCCAAACAGACCGGGTCGTGGAGGACTCTTGCTTTTGGACTTAAGGTCGTGTGAAAATATTAGACTCCTTGGTAAGGTTCGGAGAGGATCTCGTCCTAAAAATGGAAGGTTTAAGAATAGTTTAGAGGACAATGGCTTTTTATTGAAAGAGGAAATACCATAAACGGTCATAAACGACAATTCAATTCAATATCTAAGAATTGGATGCGGATTGAATGAATAATGAATGAACGGACGGACCGACAGACTGACAGATGGATGGATGGATGGATGGATGGATGGATGGATGGATGGATAGAAGGTGGAAATTGGATATTAATCATAAAATTTACGTACCACTTAAAACTTCGACCACTTTAATGACTTTTTTTAACTCTTCCTCGTTTTTTGACCTAAAAACAAAATGTATCATTAGATTTTAATGTTCCAGTCACTCTTTAGTTAAAAAGGTAACTTTCTTCGGCCAAACCTTTCACATGTGGCTGTTGTTTCCAAAAAGACACCAAAAAATTTGTTGACGCTTTCTGAATTTCGGACCACAGCTGGAAGGATGAGCAAATCCTACGAATACAAAAAGAGTTGTTGTTAGAGTCATGATGTAGGAAAGGTTTTGTCTGAAACACTAAGGTAGGACGGTCTATAATAATCCGATTCGGCCCGGTTTCTGTCCACCTTTATAAACCTCACATAACTAAGTTAAATTTCCAGTTTATATATCTAACTGGGTGATAATCCCACTATTGAAAACTTTAACAACAGAAACTGCATGGGAGTAGTCCTGACTCTCCTGGTAAAATGAGCAAAAATAACTGAAACAGTTTTCCAGGCGTGTTATACGCATAAAGGATACTGCCAAATCACATTTCATGTTTATTGTTTTCTGAAATTAGCAATACCGGTTTAGTGGTAATCTAGGATCGATGTAGGTTACGGGAAGCTCAGCTCATTAGCTGGAGCCGGCAGTTAGCTGAGCTTCCGACGTTTGAAAGATATCCGTTTCATAGAGAGTACAGAAAATGGAACCCTGGCCTGCACGTCGCATTCTGTTTTAGCTTTTGAGTCGCTTGTCGATATGACTTCTGTATGGTGCCGATGTTCTTTGTTCCACACCCCACAGAAAAAAATTTTCCTTTGATCCTAACCAACCTATGTTTTTACCTTTATAAACTTTTCCAGCCTCTGAATCTTTTTCAAATCGTCCTCTTTGAAAAGACTTTGGGAGAAGGAATTTTTCAACTCTGCCAAGAAAAGGAAAGTCTTATCAACTAAATGATGTAAAAACGATGTGAACACAGGGCCTCACCTAACGTGCATTTTATTTACTAAACTATACTCCTAACTTTTTAACAAAAATAGTTTTTAATTAATTTCTTTAGCACTTTATTGACAATAACAATGGTGACAAAAATACATAGGAAAAAAAGAAATTAAAAAAAACAACAAAGACACTATAAGGTACAGTAACAGCAATTTACGAGTTGTAACATGTTCAATGTTCGATAAGTTGAAGAGAAAGATTTGTGTCTCATTTAATACAATATGATGTTCGTTTTTATAAATTGGAAAAAAATAAAATGAAAGAGAAACGAAAGTTGCAGTTAAGACGTTTAAACTGTGTAAAAAATATTTGAAAATGGTTGAATCTGCATTTACTTTAGGTGATGCTTGAGCTCTTCAAAAACTTAGGACTGCTTTGTTATAAACAATTTGAATAGACTTTTGAAGAAAAATGGGTTTTACAAAATTGAACAAACTACTGCGCTGGATTTCGCCTCGGCATTGAACGTCTGTGGTTGATAAAACGAAGGGAAAATAGTGATAAAACTTAGGTCATGAACCCTGTATTCGAAAAAAGTCTTCAATTTCATCTAAAATAACTATTTCATGATGCTTAAACAATCTTTTGATACCTTCAGAGTATTTGGATGCAAGATTTTAAATCTACAGTCAATCGAGCGGCAATGATTAATAAGCATACCAATACCACGCGAAGAATACCTGGTAAGCTTTTGACAAGAGATTTTGCAGTCCTCTTTGAATAACCACCCTTTTGCTTGAGTAAGTCATAAACCGTGCCCTGAAATTAAAGGAAATTTTAAAAGGGCTTAAGCTTACAATTTTCACAGCAAGAAGAACTTTCTGGGGATATATGAATGGAGGATGGAAGTTTTGTACGGAAATCAGGTCAAGTTGTATCTAATTAAAATTGTGAGAAACCCGCAGTGCAATGATAGTAACTATTCGCATTCGCTTATTAGTTATTATTATTATTATTATAATTGTTATTATTATTATTATTATTATTATTATTATTATTATTATTAATATTATTCAGTATTATTCATACTAACTGTAGCTGTAGTTTGTTATAGAACATACAGTTTTTTGTACTGGTTATAGTTCAGAAATAACATAATTTACTCATATCCACCAGCAGCGAAAATGATCGAAATGAAATAAGTGAACCGACGTCTTAATAGACGGGAATAACAGCGTGCACTAAAGACACTTTAAAATAAGTGTTGATACAATGGAGCACTCGGCGGAGCGGAAGCATGAAAGCGTAGTTAAAATGGATTACAAATCAAATCGAACAGCAACACTCCAAAAACATAACTTAAAATTTTATTTCCCCAGCCAATTGAGGCCGGTAGATTTCTATTCGTCAGTGTTTGCTAAAACGCAGACTGTGGTATCAGTTTAGAATTAATATTTTTCCAGCTAAGCTAGTTTGATTGGGAATGGAAGCAATAACTACATAACTAACTGACACATTTCAATCCAACAGCTTCTCGCCTTTTTTAGTCAGGAGCATTTATTAATAAGTGACTTCTTGCTCCCTCCATCTCTCGGCATTCTTTATGAGTGACTACTGCATGGGAAACAAACTGGTCAGGAAATGTCTGTCGTCACAGGAAGCGGTAAGCAATGGACATCATTAAAATGAGATAGGGCTCCCTCGTGTATTGAAAACTGAAGGGGGGTTTGCGTATAATTATCTTCTTGAATCTCAGTTTTACTCGGATTCTGGTGCATGTCCTTACATTAGCAATCATGATGATATTATGTAATACGATACCAAACCTTGTTACGCGTGCCGTCATGTTACGTAACATCAGACGGTACCCTCACGCTTGAAGTGCCCGTGTATTGAATCGTTAATTGGCCTGAAGAACGCAGTTTTACCCAGCTTCTCGAGAGCTAGACGACGGTTAAGTGGTTCCAGCGTAAGAGTTCTTGGTTGTTGAGCTTTTGAGTAACACACCTAAATGACATAGCGCTTGAAGAAATCTCCTGTTCAAGTTCGTAACCACTCAAACTTTAATGCGCGCATTTAATTCTTCTCATTCTGCAGAGATTCTCTGACAGCTATTGACTGTAATGACAGTACATACGACTGTGAGAATTGAAGAACTGAAGTTATGATGACATTAATCGTTGCTGTTTGGCATGTTTAAATGGTTCTCAATTTTGATTTACGAAAAATCTATTTTACACAGTATGCATGTGAAATTAGTATACATATAGTTTTCAGTACTACAATTCTTAAATTTGCTTACAGACTTAGCGCCTGCCTTCCCTACCAGTGTCTGGACCTAAACCCAGGGTGATCAGTAAAGTCCAATACTCTCCAGTAATTATCTTCTTGAATCTCAGTTTTACTCGGATTCTGGTGCATGTCCTTACATTAGCAATCATGATGATATTATGTAATACGATACCAAACCTTGTTACGCGTGCCGTCATGTTACGTAACATCAGACGGTACCCTCACGCTTGAAGTGCCCTTGTATTGAATCGTTAATTGGCCTGAACAACGCAGTTTTACCCAGCTTCTCGAGAGCTAGACGACGGTTAAGTGGTCCCAGCGTAAGAGTGTTTGGTTGTTGAGCTTTTGAGTAACACACCGAAATGACATAGCGCTTGAAGCAATCTCCTGTTCAAAATTTGCGCATTTAATTCTTCTTTTCTGCAGAGATTCTCTGACAGCTATCGACTGTATTAACAGTACATACGACTGTGAGAATTGAAGAATTGAAGTTTTGATGAAATTAACCCACGGCACAAAATCTCGTCTTTTCTGGTGATTTTACCAAACGGTTAATGTGTTGAAAATGCCACGTTCACGATCCGTTTTCTCATTTCGGAATTCGCAAGAAAAACTCGGCGTTCACAATCCGTTAACACCAGGAAAATATGCTGTTTACTTCACGTTTTCCAGCACACGGAAAACGTGGTTGAACAGTGCGCTTTCTCTCGACTCTCTCGTTAACCGGACATTTTACCAAACGGTTAATGTAAGGAAAATATCGCGTTCGTGACTCGTTTTCCAACTTCGGAAAAGACAAGGACAACTTGCCATTCACCATCACCAAGAGACTATAAAGGGGGCAGAGAGGGCATCCCGCATATACACCCTATTCCATAGGTAATTCGTCTCGAGTTATTTTTAGAATCGGGATAAAGCTACCTCGCGCGAGGCGTGGATGTTCCGTGGAGGTTTCGCATGACCAAACGCCGTGCAAAACATGTCGGGCGAGAGGCAATGAAAGCGTAAAAAGATCAAGAGCATTCCTGAATATTGAAGCGAAATGAGTCGGTGCTCACCTGGGAAAAAGGAATCGCTGGACTCTTTGACAACCCGTAAAATCAGTTTAACTCGAAGTTGTCGTAACCTCAGTGCTTTAATAAAATGAGAAATTTCGCCGGTCTGTTGAAACCGGTCGTTTGTACAATTCAGGGAGTTTAAGATCCAACGACGCGGACGACAACTAGAACTTCAAAAAAACAATAGGTTTAATTAGCAAAACAACAACTTCGCACGTGCAACACACTTTTTTGTTCATTTCTTTCCCGTTTTTGCACGACTACGACGTGAAAATGCCTAATTTCGCGTTTTATGGAGGACGTAAATAAGCAACGACGAAATTTTATTTCTCTTTCTGAGCTTGAATATGGTCCCTTGAAATTCAGCTTTAGGAGGGTTCGCCTACAATTGACAAAGTAAGTGGGTAGGAATAATCGCTATAAAGACTGAAAAAAATAAACATCAAACCAGAAATTGCTCTCTTCAAACTGTAAATTATAAATGATCCTGAGAGAATATTCAGTGTGTTGAGGATTTCCCTGCTCTACTGTTAGCTCTACACAAGAGAGGAAGGGCGATTCTTTTTTAATTTCGGTTTCGCTGACACAGCTTTTGCAGAAATCTCGCTGTAGTCGTTTTCGTCGACAAAAGGAATAGCAAAATCGCTCTCCGCGTCTTCCCCCATTTTGTTCTGCGTCATTTCGTGAAGGACGCGTGGCTCTCAGCGTGGGTCATCCACGCGGAACACATTCGCGCTATGTGATTGGCTGTTGTCTAATCCCCTTTGAGATCTGTGGTGTTAAAAATAACTCGAGACGAATTACCTGTGGAAGAGGGTGTATATGGGGGATGCCCTCTCTGTCCCCTTTATAGTCTCTTGCCATCACTTATCAGAGGGAAAATATGCTGTTCATGTCACATTATCCAGCACATGGAAAACGGGGTTGAACAGCTCGTTTTCTCTCGTTAACCGGAAATTTAACCAAACGGTTAATGCCGTGAAAATATCACGTTCCTAAATCCTTTTCCGACTTCGGGTAACACAAGGAAAACTCCCGGAAAAACTCAACATTCACCGGCGGTAACACCAGGAAAACATGCCATTCATTTCACGTTTTCTAGCACAGCTGGCAAACGCGATTCAATAGTGTGTTTTGCAACTCATTTTACCATCGTTATCAGCAACCTGTAAACAGGCCGTTGACCGCCGTGTTTTATTTGGGTACATTTCCTGCCAAGAATTCCCTCAGCTTTATTTTGATTATCTTACCAGCAACAACTTTGGCAAGAAACCGGTGTCTGTGAATATTACAACGGAAATTGACTTAATAAGACTTATTAGAGGTCTGTCGTAATCGTCGTTGTTTTTGAAACAAACTCAAGGCATGTAAAATCATTCAGAGGCTTCTCTTATTTCTGCCGCGAGGAACGCAATGGAACAGACCATTTCTGTTTCCCTAGTAACCGGGCTCGTAGCCTCGACATCATGAGTGACACAAAAGAACAAGATCACATGACCTCAAAGTCCGCGTTTTTCGAAGAAGGCGGCGGGAATTTCGAGTTTTTGTTGTTTCGCTGCCATGTCCGCGGTCGATCTTGGCCAAGAAATCTCTCTTTCGGACCGTTACGTCTTGTTATTACAAGCCACGATTAAAGGAAGCAAGGTTTTGAGAACGCAAGTGGCCGAGAGAACGGAGAAAGAAGAGGACGTCAACAGACTTACCGTCAAGCTGTACACGAGCTGTGTGAAAAGTTTTCGACCGAAGAAGCGTCTAGAAAGAGGAAAAGGAGCGCCAGTTCTTAACTGAAGGTTTCAAGACAATTAGGGTAAGATCTTTAACTTCTTTTAGCATATGTTGTAAGGAATTGATCTCGAAATTGAATGCAAGTCGAGGATTTGTCAGAAAGCTACGTATACAGTGGGGAATGTGGAATAGTGAAATTCGGAATCCGGAATACAACTGTACCTAAGGAGACTTTCATGGAAGGGACAAGAGAATAGCTCTGGACGGTCATGTTGAAATGCAGACCATGCAAACTGCAGACCGTGCAGACTGTGCAGACTTAGTGTTATTTTTTTTTACTTGTACCTTAATTTTCTAGTAAAATTTTTACCATAGTTTCCCGCTTCCTCTCATTATCTGTACTGTGCATCACTATCATATGTGCACCGATGTGTACCTGCAAGGGTCATGGCTAAGAAATGAGAAAATCGTGGGCTCATGTTTACCGGAAGATGTAAAGGCAGTTTCGCACACTTTTAGCTGCGCCGCCTTCATGCAGGAGCAAGCATGATGGAGGAAGGTAAGCTGATTCTTTCTGTAATTGTATTATATTGCCACGATTATTTAAATCTTTTTTAGTAGAAGAAGCTCTTTCAGGTTAAGTGACTTAAAATAAAACCCTTCCTACAACGGCTACGAGAGAGACATTTCCTCAATTTCGTTGATTGTTGATGATCGTCTTGTTTGGTTTCACTCTGTAATTCAAACCAGTGACTTGCCACCATTTCTTCAAATCTTACAGATACCGATGTCGTTGTTGGTAGCTCGGAATATCAAACCGAGACGTTTGAGAGATGGGCCTTCCTTTAAAATGTGTAAATAAAATCAACGGTATATCTACCTTAGAAATATTCTGATTTCCTCGTATTTGGCGGTTCCGTAAGGGTCAGAATTAAGAGGAGAAGGGCAGCGACTTTAACTTCTCACAGATAATATTCAATGAAAATTAAGACAAAATATGCCTAAAATACACGGTGCATTCAAGCCCCCTCCACATCTTCGAGTCGTACAAATAATACATTTGTTACTAATGAACTATTTAGTTTTGGAACTGCATAAACAAGAACCATGATACTCGGACAAGATTGTCGGTTTTAAACCACTACCACTTATTGGCGTGAATGCATGGAGCAAATACAATAATGTTGATCCCCGAGTGAAAACCAGCCAAGAAGGACACTCTTGGGAATCGAATAAAAAAAATACATAAACCAAAGTCTTAGCCGAATCTTCTGAGCTAACAACGATAACATCGGTATCTGTACTGGATTTGAAGAAATGGTGGCAAATCACTGGTTTGAATTACAGAGTGAAACTAAAGACAATCATCAACAATCAAGGAAATTGAGGAAATGTCTCTCGTAGCCCTTGTAGGAAGCCGAAAAGGGTTTTATTTTAAGTCACTTAACTTGAACTGAAAAGCTTCTTCTACTTAAAAAAATTAAATAATCGTGGCAATATAATACAGTTACAGAAAGAAACAGCTTACCTTCCTCCATCGTGCTCGCTCCTGCAGGAACTATAGTAAACATTTTACTAGAAAATTAAGGTACAAGTAAAAAAAATAACATCCAGTCTGCACAGTCTGCAGTCTGCAGTTTGCATGGTCTGCGTTTCAACATGACCGGCTCTGGAAGATAGAACTTACCGTACCTTGTGGCACAAATTTTTTGTGGGAGTTTGTTTTTGCAGATGTAACATGTATGTGAGGCAACAAGTTTGGACATGATCATTTATTTGTTATATGACAAAGTATTCATTTTTACAATCAATCCTGGCTGACCTGCAGCTAGCTAAACTAACCAAGGCAGATCAGTCTCACAAGTTCTAAATATTACAGATAACCCAATGCTGCTGGTAAAAAGATCAGTTAAAGGGACACAGTCGCCTATTGGCCCACACTGACCTGGACACTACTTTTCCCAGTTTGAAAAAGATTTACCTCAACTCAAAATCAAATGTACACATCAGATACATCTAGAAATCCACTTTAATCTGGCGTAGTTTTTCATTCGATCCTCTATCTTTTTTCTGAAAACCTCTTTCTGACTCAGCAAACTTTTATGCATCCTAAAACATTATTAATTTTTATCATAATTATTTGGTTAAACACAGTATCCAAAGGAACGTAAAAAGAAGAGGTGGAAAACGTGTAGGTGCTGGACGGAAGAAATCCCCTTTGTGTACCAAAATGACAAGAGAAATGAATCAATAACACTGCAGAGCAAATCATCATTACAAATATTTGGAAAATTGATGGAGAAAGGTACAATCAAGCTGTCTCAACGTACTGATTCATCAAATTCAGAAGTATTCATCAATGTTTAGCTTTCCCTGGACAAGTGCATTGGTGAATTTTTGATGGCATATAAAAAAATGAGTGCTCTGATATGACTTAGAGTCTATAACTAAGATTTTGACTTACAATATTAGTTAAACTCCACAAGGTTTGTTTAGATATTCCGGATGCGCTTCTCACTTTCTGTTTCACGCGCATCTTGTGATGTGCAAAGCAGCGAAGAATTGGTATGTAATGTGCATGTGCATCAGCTGACTGTGCCCCTTTAAGTGGCCTTTTACATTGATGGAGAATTCATGCAGAGCATATTGTTATGGGTCAAATTTGTTTTCAGATTAATCTTGATTTAACTCTGGTTGATTCTCAATTTCCTTTGTCTCCTAGCCCCAAGAGACAAAGGAAATTGAGAATCACCCCGGGGGAGGGGGGTTGGGGGGAAAGCAAACCCAGGTGCTACATGTGTGCAACACAATGTATGGAAGATCACTTGTGGAGTTGTATAGCTTGTGATTAACTGATCACAAATGCTTTGTTAGGTGGGTGCGAAGGCAGATAATATAATATACAGAATCCAAGTTCAAGAGTTCAGTAAGAAGGTTGAACCTTTTTTTATCTGAACTTATCATTGTGGGGTGCTATGCAAAAAAATTTGTGACGAGTTTGGAAGTGTGCCGACTTAAGTTGCCATTATTGTGCTGTTGTTTCTTGGTTAGGTAAGTCCAAATTTTGCTTGAGTACCTGTCTAAAAAAGATAATTTAAGAGAAGATAATAGATAAGAAATTTTCACTCCAAAGGTTCATTGTAGTTCTGGGGTGAAATTAGTTTTCTGGACTGCATTGTCACCTATTTTCTGGTGGCCAATCACAAGGAAAGAAGCAAAAATTTCAAGCAGCCTACGTTATTTTGTGATGTACCAGTGTTTCTTTTTTGTTGTCGATCCCTCCTGTGGGCTTCATTCTCTTGTGATCTTGGCTGCATAAGGATTTTGAGAAATGCCAAAAATTATTTTACATAATTATATAAGTAGTATAATTATTATTATTGTTCCTTTCTGCTCAGTATTGTAAATTGTTTCCAACATTTTTCACGCTTATCATTTTTCAACAAAGTTATGACTCACTTGATATGTATAAGTATTTGCCACTAAGCTCTTCTTTTATCGTTAAGTTATAAATAATTTCAACTGTAAGGTCAAGTAGCATTGCAAAGCACATAAGGGAAAATGGAAAAACAAATTAACTCACAAGCAAATGCCTGTACTAGCCACGATATTTTGTGATGAATAACAAAATGTTTGTTGATGTTGAAAAATGTAGGTAAGAATTACAAAAACTGATCAGAATGGAACAATTTTTCTTACTACTCAAATAATTTTCATATATTTTTTTGCATTTCTTGAGCCCCTTCTGCAGTTGAGGTCAAACGAGAAGGAAGCCCAACGAGGGATAACAACAAAATTAATATATTCATCACAAAATAGCGACTACTAGGCTACAAGCATTTGCTTGTTTCCTCGTGAGTTGCTGCCCAAAAAAAAAAACATGACAGCACCGTTAAACTAACCCCAAATCCACACCGAACTGTTTGAGTGAAAATTTACCATCCTTTATCTTATCTTAAAGTATCTCCTTGGTGGCAATTGACCAAAATTGGACTTACCTAATGCAACCATGAAACAGTCGTGCAATAATGGCGACTTATTAAGTCAGCGCTTGCAAGCTTGTCAAAAATTTATTCATGGGGCCAGCACAACAATGATTACAGAGTGATATAAAAAAGCAGTTCAACCTTCTTACAGAACTCTTGAACATGGATTATGTAAATTATCAGCCTTCATTATCACCTAACGACACTTTTGTGATCAATTAATCACAAGCCATCTGACTCCACAAGTTTAAAGCTAGCTGTACATCACATCATGTATATTCAAACAGTATTACATGTTGTTTTAAAGAAGGGATTCCACGGATAGAACACAATCCAGTGGCATTACTCAGTTGGTAGCATTTGTGAATAATTTAATTAAAGGGAAAAGGATTAAGCCTCACTAAATGTGACAGCTACAGATCAGTGACCACTACTGGTTTTTCAATGAGAATATTTCTCTTGACTACAGATGCTCTGAAAGTTAAAAACAAATCTATCAAAATTAATTGATTTCTATATTATTTCACCCAGAAACTTGAGAAAAGACGAAAAGTAGTTACAGAAGATGAGAAGAAGATGCCAGTCTTAGAAGCCCTACATTCAGCCTTGATTCCGTCTGATGAGTCAGATGAGGAGGGTGATGTTCTCAGAACAAGGCCCCTAGAGTGGAGATCAGAGGAGGTTTCCATGTTTTTTTCACAATTTAGACTCTCACTATAGAAGAAGTATGTCCAACCAGCAAAAAAGGCAGTCTGTTAACAGAAGGGTTGGTCCTCCAAGAACAAGAGGCCGTAATGAAGTTCCTGAGTCATTGCTCTGGGCCATTAAATTGTAGTTCTTTTCATTTTTTAATGCTTGATAACAGTGGAGCTTCAATACATTTTTAAAAGTAAATCAGGGAAAACCTTGTTTCAAGACTTATTTCAAAACAAATATGGCACTTGAAATTTCTTTAACAGTGTGCTATTGCCATTTGGGGTTCCACTGGTCGACATATATTTAACAATTATTCCTCAAGCCCAAATGAGCTATTGACTCAGAGGCCATGAGGGCGAGAGGAAGAATTTATTGTTTTAGTAATATCCAGCTAGTTGGTCCAAAATATCGAGACAAAGCAAGTTTAGCTAGCAAAAAACATTGTCCAGCCGCCATTGTTTTGGTTTCAAAGCCGGCGCTTTTCGCTACTAGTGGGCTATAACATATAACCTAGTAGTAGCTCAGCCAATCAGAATGTGACATTGATAATAGACCACTAGTTGGATATTACCAATTAACTATATTCCAGGTGATTTTCACCAGCAAACCGAGAGAGTACTCATCCTTAAAGGAAATACACTCAAAATTCCACTCAGTACGAGCACACATGGACTTATTAAACTAAGGAGTGGATCAACTTCATTTTGACCTTGGAAACAGTATTGTTTTAAGGTCAATGTGTACTCGTATTGAATAGAATTGTGAGTATAAATAGAAACTTTACTACAGAAAAACAATTTGTATGCGAGTGGAATGTTGACTGAAATTAATCTGTACATGCCTTACTCGTTAGCAGTTAGCATCGAAATCTCCCTACTGTTCTTATTTGGATCAGTTGGTTATCAGTAGATATATTTCCAAGAGTGTTCTGAATTGTACTGACCATATTCATTTGATAACAGAATTTTGTGAATATCTTATCTATGATTGAATGCATTTTTATAAATAGTAGTTTTAGTTTACTGTGGAGTGGTCATAATCAATTAGAGGCATTCTGTACTGCAGACGATGAGTTGAGTTGCTGATAATAAAAGAGTTCAGAAGTACATTGAGAGCTTTTCATTACTTGTTTCCATTGAGGGATATCGGGGAGAGAATCGAAGTATTTATTTGTCGTTTAAAGCACCTATGGCGGGTGCCGGGAAAAACAAAACTGCAACAACGAATGTTAAATTTTGAACGAAAACACCAGTGAATAAAGGACTAAGTTACATTCCCGCATAAGATCACACTGGAAACGTAGAAGATGCGAGAAAATAAGCGCATTCGATACTGAAAACGGCGCGTTTTCCTGGAGAAAAAAGTTTTGAAACGATGGAAAACATCTCATTAAGCGATGGGTGAACGTTGGGGAACATGCTGTTTTCCGGCATTTTCTAGTTGTTCGCTGCCCCAGAAAACGCGAGAAAACTCACGCAAAATGACGGAAAACGTCTGTGAATTCTTTGTTTTGCCACTTGAAAACACCAAAAAACGCGATGTTAAGTCAATGGAAAACAGCGGTGAACAACGGAATACGATCCGTTCCTCATGTGTTAACCGTATGTTTTCCGTGTGTTTTGCTTGTATTAGCCGTGCGTTAACGGTCCGGTTAACGCCAGTAAAACAAGCGTTTTCCTGGTGTTAACTGAGCCTGAAAACTATCGGATAATGGAACGAATACTCAAATTTACCGGCCAGAAAACGACGGGAAAAGAGTGGATTTTACGACCGGAAAAGGCGAGAGAATTTTAGCAAAATGCCGCGTTTTCGAAAATTAACCGAGGGTTTTCGAGACGGTGAATGCCATATTTCTTGCCGTGGTACGTACGTACCGTTGCTGTTTGGCATGTTTAAATGGTTCTCAATTTTAATTTACGAAAATCTAGTAAACTGTATGCATTTGAAATTAGTATACATGTAGTTTTCAGTACTACAATTCTTAAATTTGCTTACAGACTTAACGCCTGCCTTCCCTTTCAATGTCTGGACCTAAACCCAAGGTGATCAGTAAAGTACAATACTCTCCAGTACAAAGAATGCAAACTGGCGAGCTGTTACTTTTTACAAAAACAGGCTAAATATCAGTTATCATCTTCAATAAATTCAGTTTTATTACTGAGTATCACTATACAACTTGAATATGATTTCGGAGTGGAACCTTGAAACATTGAGTTAATTCGTATTTCAAATCGATCAACCGAAACGTACCTGCAACTCAATGAAATCGTCATATGTTTTCCGAAGGGCCATTTTGCTCCCATCAGAGTACAGAACTGTGATCTTATATGCCTGATAGGGGAAAAAATGTAAAAATTAAGATATGAAGTCCGAGTCCAGACAGAAACTAGTAACGCTTACCGGAGTACTGTCAGTACTCATATAGTTTGAACCAAGAAAGCTTACTTTTTCGCTGTTTTATAACAAATGTATTTCCTGTCATTCGTTTTTCACAGAACACATACACTGTAAAAGCTAATTACTTTAGCGCTTGGTCTTCCAATGTTGTCGCTTATTTTTTGTTACTGACATTTAAAGAAAGAAACTTCCTAATTGCTAACGTGAGATCAGCTGTGCCATTAATTCTACTAATCTCTTCCTCAGATCTTGCCAACACTTATCAAGTCAGACCTGGGTTTCGCGAAAACACGGTATTTAAACACGCAAAAGCAAAGAAATGGCAAACCTCAGGGACGGTTCCGTTATTCTTCGATGGAAAAGTTCCGGTAACAGATGCTTCAAACACTGTCTTCCCCTCTGCGGACATGTTGCAAGTGACAACGACAACTCTGTTCAGTGGACTGTACTTAGCTATAAGATCAGTGTATTTATGTGTAGGCCTCCTTATACAAGTCCTTGACTCAGCTGGCTGGACGTAAACAAAGAAAGCTGTTTGGTCTGGGTGGACACAATAGATCAGTTTAGGGTGGTTTCGATTGAGCGTATTACGGAATAAGGATACGCAAGTTTTGTCACAAGTCTTTCTTGACTTTTGGAGTTATACTTCGCAATACTTTTTGTTTCAAGGAGCATCATAGACATAGTAATGCAATGAATGCAAAACTAGATTTTAATCCATTTATTCTTAGTAACTACGTACAGTTGAACCCCACTATTTCGAAGTCCCAAGGGAAATGGAAAAAAGTTCGAAATAGCGGGGTTTCGAAATAACTGGGGAAAAGTAAAATTCGTAACAATGAATCCCTTTTAATAAAATACGTTTGTAATCAAAAAAGAAAATTCAGAACATTACTTTACAATGTCGAATGATCAGAATAGAGACGGCAGAGTTCATACATGAGTATTTCAGCCAGAAGAACAGTTCACTACCAGTGCGTTTCGTTGTTGTAATTGAATAACCCAGCTGGAATTTCTTAGCGGGACTCTGCAGGAGAGTCAAGCATTGTTAAGTCATAAATTACGCAACACGAGCTCAAATAAAATGCAATACGTTTCCAGCTGTGCTCTTTTGACAAGTTCGAAATAATGGGATTGATTTTAGGTGTAGGGAAAGAACGATGAGTTCGAAATAGCGGGGAAATCGAAATAACCGAGTTCGAAATAGCTGATAGTAAATGACTGAAAACATAAGGGCAAATCCAAGGGAATTCGATCTTCCTTCGAAATAGCGGGGACTTCGAATTAACCGAGTTCGAAATAGCGGGGTTCGACTGTAGTTATAACCAAAGGTTACGGAGTCTGGGCGACAACGATCGAGGGTCTAAAAGCTTTTGCTCCAGGGCTGTGCGTTGCGTAAGTTTCACGTGAGAGATGGTCAAAACACGCGTGATCAGATTAAGCGTGATAGAACTGTCCAAACGTGCGTGATCAAAGTTTGTTTTGTGCACTCCATACATTCTTAGTGGAAGTTCAAACGAATGCTGTTCACCGGCGAAAAATGTCTGCGCATGCTCTACTAAAAATGACACGTGATCTATCTCGGGCAATGTCATTGGCTCCGGGGCAAAAATACCCGCGAAATGTTGTTGAGATGAAAGAAGCGATGGCAGCTTTTTTGGCAGTGACAGCGTTGCAATTTCTTGCCACTGCAAGAGATCAAAAATTATTTTGGTCGAAGTTTTCAGGAAGTGTGTTCTCTAGAGAATATAGCGTCCTGGAACTGGCGAAATATCGCAGTGGCATGGTCCGATTCAGTGTTGTTGACGTTGAGATCGCCGGTTTGAGTGTGGAAGACATGCCGAAAAGGTGGGTAATTTTTACTCTCTTTGCTTACTGCATGTTCCGTGCAACTCGGTACAAAAAGAAATTATAAAGTAGTGGAAGAAAAATTATTGGGCTTTGTTTTGGTATATAAATTAGCTTGTACCGAGTTGCACGGAAGCGACAGTTTTGTTAAATGTNTGACGTTGAGATCGCCGGTTTGAGTGTGGAAGACATGCCGAAAAGGTGGGTAATTTTTACTCTCTTTGCTTACTGCATGTTCCGTGCAACTCGGTACAAAAAGAAATTATAAAGTAGTGGAAGAAAAATTATTGGGCTTTGTTTTGGTATATAAATTAGCTTGTACCGAGTTGCACGGAAGCGACAGTTTTGTTAAATGTGTATCCCGTTTTTGTGTCAAAATTCGACTTCGTGAATCTGACATTCGACAACATTCGACTGTTGATCGAAGGGCGTATTACAACGCTATCCAAAATGTTTTTGTTGTTTAGTTCAGGTTTCTTATCACGTGTTCAACCAAAAAAAGTAGAGGGACGGACATTTTTGGGCTTTGTTTTGTAAATATTAATTACTTAGCTTGTACTCTGTTGCTGGAAAAACTATATTTAGATGCTAAATCTCCGTGTGTTTACACCGTTTATGGCAGAAAAATAAGCTTACGCTTGGTTCAACTTAATTTCGGGTCATTCGATACAAAAGGAAATTATAAAGAAGGTAAAGAAATATCCTTAGCCATTGTCTTGCTGTGTAAATTGTCTTGTGGCTAGTGGAAAGCGGCCGGGTTGCGGCAGTTTTCTAAAGTGCTTAGTTGTGTAGGATATACAGTTTCCAATTTTGATCTTCTGTCAGAATTATGAGAGAACACTCAAATACAGATCTCATTCAAACTTTATAGTTTCATTGTAATTATCGTTTATTTCTATTCCTATAAACTTATCATCAGGTCTACATTTTGCATTAATTTAATGTGATATATATTTGAAGGGGTTGTTGTTTCACAGTGAAGTAGTTTTCACTTTGTTTTTGTGATGTGAAGTTCAGTTTCTTCTTACTTGTTGGCTAAGGCAGTGTTGAAGTATCTGACATGTTAACGTACTTTATTGTTTATTTCTCTTCAGAAAAGATTGATTGATCCTGAATCAAACAAAGTGCAGCCTCACAAACAAGATTTCTGACGAACAAATGTGTACTCAACCAAACCATATGTCCCTGACAGTGTCAATAAAATTTATGAATGGAAAGATCTGGGTTTTTACTCCTTTTTAGCACTTTTGACTACGCATCACTTTTCTAACCTATATACTAAAAGGATATAATCAGTATTTTTTCCAACTAACATATTTGCAATCAAAGTTCTCTTCTTTTATGTATAATATTCCCCTAATTTTAAAAATTTCATTATCTTATTCATATCAAGCACAGTAACCATTAGAAGGAAAAAAGATAAAAAACCTGCCCGGTTATAGACGGCTTTAAAGTTTTGATATTAAAATTGCATTCGTTCACAATGAAAGGAACATGAATGCAGACACTATAGTTCATTTAGCTCAATTAGAAACTTAAGTCTTGCTGGAGAAAACATAATTTTGCTTTATGTTTTCGGTAAAAAAATAATAAAATATCTTCCTAGTCTCTGAGCAATTTCAAAGGACCTATAGTGTCTTATTTCTCGACTGCATTGAGCTGTAAACGAAGGCCGTTCTTTTTAGTGACCCGGCTTTTTTCAGAAATATTGTTGTCCTTCGTGATCGTGAAGAGTGATCGCTTAAACAAGTCCAGAGTTGAATCTGGTAAAAAGACCAAAACGCGAGCATCGCAGGGAACGAATCCCATAGGAATAGGTGAAAAAGGATAATAAAAAGTCTAGGCTATGTTAAAAAATTCCGTATATGCATTTGCAACTCATATTAAGCCGCCATTAATCTTCTTTCCACAATAAACAAACGATGGAGGTATTGCCGCCATTTTGAATTTGGCAATGTCACGTGGTCGCGCGTCGACCAATCAGACAATTTTCGCCGGCGAACGAATGCTGGCTACATACATGCGACGCATACGTAATAACAATCTGGAGATTAGGATTGCGGGCTCCTCTTGTCGCCCGTAATAATCCGGAATATGGTTAATCAAGCAAGACCTTAGCCTCTTCATGTATTAAGTTAAGCATACATAGAGTGACAGGAAGAAATCATTGGAACATTATTGAGCGGCTATTGCAGCGGTTTGGCAAAGTGCACTCTGTAAGAAGAAATGAAAGGTTTATGCAATAAATAAAATGCGCAAAAAATGAATTAAGCGACTAAAATTAAAAACTGTTATTTTTTCTTCCTGCTAATGTTATCTATGTTCTCTGACGAATGTCAAGTGAATGTGAAATCTTTATTAATTGCCCTGTAGCTGCCCCCAAACTCTTCCGCATCACGTTTTTCTAGGTTCAAGGCTAGTTGGGTTATTCTGATAAACCTTGCCTTAATCAGGGGCGTAGCCAGGATTTTTTCAGTGGTACGGACAACTCAGCAAATGCCCCAGCCCCAAACCACACCCTTCCCCCCCCCCCCCCCCCCCCCCCCCCAAATTTCCCCAAAAGTAAGGTTACTGTAAGCATCAGGGGGGTTGGCGCCCCCCACTAATTTAAAAAAAAACTTTTTTTCCCTTTTTTAAAAAATTCCCGGTTGGTTTGTTTCTTGCAAGAATGGGGAGGGAGAGCCGGTCGAACCCCATCCACACCCCACCCCAGTGTGCGCCTTCTCCTCGGAAAAAAAAAAAAAACAAAACACACACATCATACTTTTTTCGAGGTTCAAGGCTAGTTGGGTTATTCTGATAAAGCTTGCCTTAATCAGGGGCGTAGCCAGGATTTTTTCAGTGGTACGGACAACTCAGCAAATGCCCCAGCCCCAAACCACACCCTTCCCCCCCCCCTCCATCACCCCCTCGATAATGTCCCCAAAGGTAAGGTTACTGTAAGCCTAAGCGTTGATGACGTCTCCAAGTAATTTAAAAAAATCCTTTGTCGCCTTTTTAAAAAAGTTCCCGGTTTGGTCAAGTCTCTGAAGATTTTGAATCCGAAATCGAAAGTGAAAAAGTTGTATCTAATTACCTTAACTTTAATTTCTCAATGTTTCGTAAAGTGAAACAGTTCTTCCAACGAATCATGATGCCGTCTTCCTCTGATCATCAGAGTTAATTTTGCGGTAAAGCCAAAATGTAAGTGTCACGTTCGTGAATATAGGGTGCTTTACAAATGTTGATGGCGAGGGTAGCAAACACGTCACTATTAACACGAATTCGCGTTTTTTCAAACTTTTCTGCGTTTATTCCAATTTGCTCAAAAGGGCAAATGTAGGTGAATTTCACTGGAGTTGAATCCTTGGGGACCGCACCCAAGTTTGAACTGGGAAAGAAAAACTCATTATCGTCTGTTTATTTTCACGTACTCCATTGGTCGTGCACGGCAAAGAAATGTACCAAAAAGCGTGATACAGATGCAAAACTTGTCTTTTAACTTAAGGCCTTTTGCTTTTTGACTTTGTTCTCGTTGCTGTCGCCGTCGTCGTTGCTTAAGCCACCCAGTATTATCGATGTGTGTTAACTGTTGGGAATCCGAATGCGTTTTTAGTATGAAGACTCTATGAAAGCTTGCGAAATGATCCGAATCACCCTCAATAAAAATTTATGAATCCTCTAGTGTAATCGTAGCGTCCACGCGAACAATCCAATCGTGCCTTACTTCGTCTAGTGCGAGAGGCCGAAGCGAAAACAACGCGTTTACGCTTTAAACCATCCTGCCTTGCCATTTGCCCTCATATACTGAGCTTTGGCTGCCTGTAGTACTAATACACCATGAACAAAAAAATTTCGGCTCATTTTTAATATTGAATTACGTTAACCTATTTCATATTTTTTTTTCTCTATTAGCCCTTATTTAGAGTGATTATTGTATGATTATTGTATCTTGATTCTAGCATCAATCGTCTCGAACTTCTCTTTTTCTTGCTGAGCATTGTTTAAAGCCCTTGCTGATACGGCCTTCGTTACTGGGACACCATCCTGCTATTCCACTTTGCTATATATGTATCTAAAAATAGTCTTTCAGGATAAGACGGCGCTCACTTTTAAACTTAGCTTACGGAGTCCTTACGAACTTAATGTAGCGAAATATTCAGTTTCTGTCGGCAAATAGCAACCTGTACTATATATTATATCAAAAGCTTAAAAAAGTTAACAGTTATAGTATTTTAATTATTTGAAAATGTTCAGAACTTCTTCGCGATAAAATTAAACTAGTTGACTTTAATTCAGGTTTCAGCACTTTTTGTTCTTTCCGAACTTGTACTGTGTCAATGATAAAACTAAAAACGAATAGTCATGTCAAGTGCTATTAATAAGTGATGTCTCATTTCAAATTATATTTCACTTTGGAAGTAGCATTTCCCTGACTAAGCAAACATTCCGGAATTCGCAGAAAGATTCCTCTTCTAAATAAAAGTTCCGTCCATTTACACTGGTTGCAAGAAATTTGATGGACCCCAACCCTGATGATCGTTTGCGCTTAAAAGCCACCAGCCATTACTGCTCCGCTTAAGTACCTCCACTATGTCTCCCTCGTTAATGGTAATTTCGTTTTTGTCTTGAGAGATGTACGTGTACATGGCTTGATACCTCGTGATCTGGGAATCATTTTCTTGCTCCTTTTCAGAGATGGACTCAACAGGAGTTACTTTAATTTCATCAATTCTCGGCTGGGGGCTGCGTCTGGGGCTTTTACTTCTTGGTGATGGAATGGGACTTCTTCTTCCTGAGCTCAATGCACTTTCATTCACAGAAGACCCGGATGTATTCGCATCCTGTGCTAATGTTGTTACAAGATTTGAGCTGGAGTAAACCTGTTTTGGAGCAGTGCTTACTACACAGCTATCAGAACTACCCGGTAATGCACACTGCACAACGCTTTCCGTTTCAGGTATAGAAACATCTGAAACTAGAGAGGACAGACTGCTGCTTGAAGAGGTATGATATCCGCTTGAAAAAGATATCGTATCTCCCTGATTTTGTTCCTTTTCTTTCGGCTTTGTTTCAGTGGGCTGAGGAGGAGTGATATTTTTATTTGGCCTCTTTTTGATCGATCGCTGAACCTGCCGGAAAACGAAAAAATAGTAAATGCAATTTTCGATGATAATCCATTACTAAGGAAATACGAATTTAAAAAAAAAGAAATTACTATTTTATGAATGTTTCTAAGTGTAATGGAAATCATTTAAAGGTTTAGCTCTTATAAAAGTCCAACGATTATTGAAACTCATCGTTTACTAAGCTATTCATTAAATATAGAAACGTTGTAAAGAAAGAAGTAAGATAGAAGCGACAAAAAGCAACGCTACCTATCTTTTTGTCAGGCTTTATAAGAGGTTAACGCAAAATTGACAGCGGAAGAACTTACCATACTTCGCCTTGTGGGAGGTGATCTTCGGCCTGTCACAATGTCACTTTCTTCAGAAACTACTATGAAAAAATGGTTGCGTTAATCAATTAATGTTATATGATTACTGGTTAGCTCAGTTGGTTACAGACGTTAAATACCAGAAAGGAAGGTAGGGATCAATTCTTACGGCAACAGCCACACCAAACCTCATAGTCTTAACCCTGGTCACAACCGCTGGTGATCTGTCCATGGAAAATGGGAATGGGGTAGGGGAGGGTACCCCGCATGGTACCTGCGTGTCTCATTCCTGGCCCTCCCCATAGGTCAGGTCGGAGCCCAGTAAAAAATTATAAACATTCTAGAAAGATGGATTGGAGTTATAGGGAAGGGCGTTCGTGACGTGACAAAACAGGCTGCGAGGGAGACCACTGAAGTAGCCATGAAAAAGAATGCGCAGCAGTTCAGTAACGCTATTTTGGATAATGATTTTTCTTTCGTAGAAAAGAAAAAAGGAAACCTCGAAATATTATTTGGCCTGTGGATGAAGTAGAAAAACACCAAATAGGTAAAGCATTTATTATGGTTCAGTACTACTGAGGTGTGACTGCTCAGGTCTCTTGTTAAAATGAAAAACGTAGATCCATGCAAATTCCCTTTCCTAGCTCCTACACGGAAGGAATAAGGAAATGTTCAAAACTGTAAATATAAAATTAATCGATGCAACAAATCACCTACCCCGTTGAGAGGACACAGTGTCCCCCAGTCCACAAATTTTTCCACTAGATGAAGGCGAAGAGTCATCAGACTCAACTACTCGTAACAGAAACATTGCAGGCACCCAGCCTTCTTTGCCCTGGTATCTAAGAAGTGTAAAAGTAGATAGGTTTTAATATTACTTATGCCTATTATCGTTTGGCAAACTCGTTACTGCTACCTCTTAATCACTCAATTTTTAAACGATTGACCCGAAAGTAACAACAGTCAGTCATTTTCTAACTTAAATACCATGTAAATGTGACCACCCCTTAGATAGCGGTCGCCTGGGGTGAGTCGGAGAGTATTTTGTGGGAGGTCTGGGGCCCACATAAATTTGAGCGAAGTGTTAAGGGTGGATCACTGAGCGATCTGTTGTAATAAGGTGGAATCCGGCGCTTGAAATTTTGGGAGATTTCAGTGTCATGTGTGTAGTCAGGCATTGTGTGTAAACCATTTCAGTTATTATTGCAACTGCTAAAAACGTTCCATCACTGTCTTACCTGGCTAGCCACCATCCATCTAGGTTCTTTTCTACAACTTTGAGGGTAACACCAATGTCAAAAGAAAGTTCGTCTTCAGCTCTTGCTTCATAGCTTTGCATCGACTGATATGCTTCCTCTGCGCATTAAAATTGAAAAAAAAAAACATCATTATTGATGTGGTTATATTACTGATAATATGCCGCATAAGGTTACCTTTAAAGTATTATGAACGAAACTTTCCAAAATTATCGGTGTAGTTTAGGCCAAACTTTCAATCATGTTAATCACTCTTTATAGCAAAAAAAGGCCATTTATGATAAGAAATATGATATAATATCTGTCGTGTTTTTACTTTAATTTACTCTTCATGTTTAAGTGTTTTTTCGCGTTGCTCAATCATACTTAAGGTTACATAAGCTTGTGTAACATCTACCTTGACCAGGAGCAAAGGTTCTGGAGGCAGTGATCTCTACCCCATCATCAGTAGGCTCCAGATGTGACGCAGGAGCCCAGCCTAACTCGCCTTCACGGTCAACCAACCACCAACCTTTAAAAGAATAGTACATGTATTAAATTGTTATTATTATTATTATTATTATTAAAGATCCATATTGATATTTATCTCCAGCTGGTACTAATTTTGCTCTATAGATCTCGCTCTGTATGCATCGATGGAACAATTCAACTATGTATTGCCCTGGTCCTCCATTTCTCGATGATGAAAACCCCGCTTTCACAGTAATAAGTCTAATAAATTAGGAAAGCTTTCATAAAAAATCAGCTCTGTTAAGGCAGAAAAATAACAGTCACATGCATGGTAGAAGCTTTAAGCTTGTATGTCCGGTCCGAATAAGACGTAATGGTACGTTTACTAAAGCTCAACTTGAGGTTAAAAGCGACCGCTCCGGATAATTGTAAAGGATTAAGACGTAAAATCTAGTTTTACTTATGAATAAAACTGATTCAGAATGCTTTAACAGTTAGATTAAGTGTTCATTAACTTACATTTAAGAAGTAAACAATGTTGGCTGAAAAACTGCTTCAATCTGCTTTAATATTCCTTACCAAAGTCGCTCTTTTCGATAACATCAACAGTGTCACCAGCTGTCAGTGAAATATCGTTCTTGTTCTTCTTTTTGTAGTCAGCAATGGCTATGTACTGCTCAAACACCACAGGTCCTGATATCTGAACACTGCTGTTATTATCACCTGCAATAAAAAAAAGGGTTAAGAAAGAAATTGCATACACAGAAAGCACTGTTCATCCTATCATCGCCTGTTCTTAGTTTGTGTAGTTCCTTATCCTAGCAAGTATGTTGGGGACTTTGTCTGACGATGAGAATACGTGGACTCGAAAGGGCTGAGGCAATTTCAATCTCTAATCAACTATTTGTTTCTCCTTTAATTTTGAAAGAAAAAGCGAAAAGCTCAAGTCATAGCTATATATATAGTTTGCATTTGTCACTTACTTTCATTGGTCTTGTTGTTAGCTTTGCTAGATCTGAAAATGAAGAAAGTACAAAACAAAAAATGAAACGAATACTTTTTGCTATTTTTGGCAGTAAAATTTATATTACAGTCTTACTGTTTTATTTCCATTTCTGACAATTTAAGAAATGGACTGAAATAAAACAGTAAGACCGCTGTAATATATTTTACTAAATTAAATCTAATGTCTAACACAAATGCAGACAGAAAAAGATAACCTTCTTAGTAATAAAATAAGTTGAAGTAGCAGAATTGGAATTCTTTACCTAAGCTCTTGGTTAGTGTCTCAAATTGTATAATTTTTTACTACTTCTGGTTTTGAGACATTATAACCATAATGATCATGAATACGTTCGAAGATGATGCCGACGATGAACAACGATGATGATTATGATGGTGGTGGTGACGGTGAACATTATGATGATGTTAATCAGAATTGACATATCTGGGGTCAAAGAGAATGCTACGTGCGTTCATCAGAATAATCACGTTACTTACGTTCCATGAGGGCGCAAATCACTGAGTCGAGCCCGACAAAAGAGGAGGACAGCTTGGCAGTTTGAAATATCATCAGGAGCGTTGATAAGGTCCTTATAAATAATAAAGGGAGGGGAAAATTAGTATGAAATTAAAACCTAATAACTGGGAAAATACACAAGAGAAATAATAACTGTTTACTAAGCCATTAGAATTAAGGAAATTGCGTTTATAGCGAAGGGATAATGAGCAGATTTCCAAAATTTTACTGACTAATTTTCCTTCATCTTGTTTCTATACTCACGTAAAAAAACTTGTTCAAAGACTGTCTTCGTTTGCATGTTCCATCCTTGAAGCAAAACTCGCAGTTTTCAGAAAATTTTCTTCCTGAAAAAGAACAAGTCAAACCAGAATTGTATTGGGTTGAATCAGTTTTGTAGACTTGATGACCGCGGACATTCTAACTAGTTATGACCAAAACAAAAATTATAGCTAAGGTTGATCAAATGAAATTTTAAAGCCAACTTAACAATATTGACAAACTGAAGTCCTTTCGTCGGATTTCCTCTCCCAACAACAAAGTATCGATATCATAGTTTCTTTAGCAACTAAACCCTTCATTGTGACCACAGAATTAATTTGGGGAGCATTTAGGTCATTTTTATTTTCTCACCTTTTAACACGGGAATTTCTTTGCCAGTGCCCTTCGGAAATTCTTTTTTGAGGTTTTCCTATAGGTAAAACAATCTTGATTTTCACAAAGATCATATTTGGAAATTATTTCTCACTATTCCCTTTATCAACTGGTATAAAGATAGCTTAATTACCCGCCTTTGCGTTTTTATGTTAAAAACAAGTGGGTTTGAGAGGAATTTTCAGTAGATGACTATGTCTTTATTTACTGATCGATTAGTAAAAACAACTTCAATTTGGCTCCCAATTTGGGTGACGCATTAGAAAAGGATTTAAATGCAGTTGAAAATTTTTTTCAAACACAAATCCTGATAAAAGCGATCAATTTTGCTAACCAATACTAGGAACAAATCAAATGAAATAAAGACTTAACCAGGTTCGGACGTCAATAGCGACTACACAGTTGACCGGACTGCATCAAACCGGCGGGTTAAGCGAAGATCATTAGATTTGAATTATACTTATTAGCTTCGATTAATATTTCCCTATTCAAATTTGTATCCAAAGTTCATATATGATAGATTTTATTTATAATTATATAATTAATCAATCAAACGTCTGAAAAGGAAGACTGAGTGATATCACTCGTCCTTGGCTAAGAAAAATTCTAACGGAGTGCTGAAAATGATTGCTCGGCGCTAGCTCCCAATGAAAAAGAAATGCCGGCAACAGTATCGACCCTTCGTTACCAAATGTACTATAAATCATGGATACACGTCAACGATGGAATCGTCAACGAGAAAATTTGATACTTGGCCAACACTGAAGTGGAAACTTCTCCTCCTAAGGTCTGTATCAAGAGTCAAACTCAGTTCACTCTGCCAAATATAATGCTTATGGCAAAGTCTATTGTTCTGCCTCATTTGCAATTAGATTTGGTTCGATCAACGAAAAATTCGACTTCTAAAATTGGTCAAAGTGAGATGAAGAACTTTATTTAAATCTAAGGCCTGCCCATTAACATCGAACTTTTCATTGATAAGACGAACCAAATTGATCCGATATAAAGTTCATGAAAAGTTCGACTTCTGTCTTGAGTTAAGTTTGTCTCGAGGAGTCTGGATCAACCTTCAGACCAAATTAAAATTTAGTTAGTTTCATGAAAAGTTCCACGTTTGGCCTTCGCCTAAGACCGTTATGTTTCAAACCTGTAGAAAAAAGAAATCACTGCACTTTCTGTAGATGATGTTAATACTTCCGTCTGACCACAGCACTTTGAGAATATAAACCTAGACGGGAGCAAATTAGCAAAATTTTGCATTTAGGACATTTCTTAAGCATTTTAACAAAACACTGATGCGTTCTTCGGCAATATCTGCTAAATAAGAAGAAGTAACATCTAACTTAAAAAAGGCAACTACTACATACAGCGATTTGTCACCTTAATAATGTCTGCGTATACCGATGAGCCGTTATCTGGACTTAGGCGAACAACAGATAGTCGATTAAAGTAGCTCAGAGACAATAAATTGAACTAATTCTGGTCTATCGTTTAGTAAGTGGTAATCCTACTGATTGCAGGACTAACAACAGTCCGGCTCTCCCCTTTCAATCTGATCATTGATCAATTTATCGACGGTAATTGGCAAACACTTCAGTGCATAAAGTGTGACGAAAATTAATGACATTTTCTAAGGTTTTCTAATGCTGAATTCCGTTTTTATTGAAAACAAGATTAAGGCATTCTGGAATTCGCCGTTCACTAGGTGATTTACTAACTAACCGGTTTGCAATACTTACATAATTTTTATCTGGGGTCTTGCGTTTCTGAATTCCTTCCACTGAAACAAGTTTTACCCGTCGGTCCATCTCAGTTGATTCCGTTTCTTGTGACTCGTTTTCACTGGTTTGACTCAGGGACTAAGTAACAGAAAAAAATATACTCAGCTGCATTTATAACCTCAGTCTTCGTGCCTTCTCTTGAGGAAGCTTGAAAAAACAATGAGTTTAAGGCTATGACGTTACTTAATGGTTCCACCGGTAGCATAATGGTCACGTTCTTGTACTTCCGCATTTCAATCTATTTGGAAAAATTCTATATATATTCTCTACAGATATGATATTATATTCTTGCTTTTCTACATGCCTTCTGATAGGTACTCTAACATTTTCACACAAACATTAATGAGATCCCAAACTTGCCGATTGCTTCGTAAACTGTAGATTATGCCTCCATGAAATCTCACCTTTAACCCAAGGAAGCTATAAGTTAAACATGTCAACAGGAACACTTCAGGTTCTGTCTGCGCTCTTTTCTTTGTAGTGGTTAAATTTTGTATGTAATTATTATAATTATACACGCTTCTCTAAGTTGTTGTAAATTCAAACTTTTACAGTCTTTACACGCGAATTTTTGCGACACATGGGAACACTTGAAAATTCAAAAGTTTAGGGAGATCTTTTTCAAAAAAAAAAATGCGGTTTCTTTTCATTTTCCCTTATTCTTACTCTTAGCACCAAAATGCAAATATCTTTTTCCTTATTACGTCATTTCGATCGATTACGCTTGTGATATTTATTAAGTTGGTGTCTACACTGCTGCCGAAAACCATTTCGAATTGGGCTTTTGTTAAAACAGAAAAAAGGCGATTTCGGAGCGAATCTACGCCACACCGATCTTGAAAGTAGATGGCGCCTGTCAGATAGTTATCTGTACCAGTAGCAAAATGAACATGTGCTCATACCAGGCCGGAGAATTTTCCGTGTGTGACATGATAAGCTATCCGGAATACTGTAGACATTCATTTATAACACTCATATATGACGTAACAGAGGAAAGAGGCCATATTTGAGAAATAGATTACCAATATTACAATGACCCCCGTTTCTATTGGACATCCACGGGAACCCTGCTAATTATCCGCTAAATCAGGCCCATAGGAGGGGGTTCGAGGGGTTCGAACGAACCCCCTTTGCAGGCCAGTGATGGAGGACTAAAAACACAAGCTGTTAATTTTCAGCTTTTAGCAAATAGTGGAGGAATCGACAACAAACTTTGAGTGTTTTAGCTCAGTTTAAATTACCCTGCAAGAAAACGCTAACAGTATCGGGAAAGTCTTATTCATTGGCACAAATAAAAATTGTTTGCAGTTTGAGTACAAATGAAATTCTTACAAGCCTTACATGAAGTATAAAGTTGGTGTTGCCAAAATGGCTTCTAAACGAAACGGATCAGCAAGTATTTTGCGTTATTTCTCTTTAAAAATAAGACTCGTAAGCTTAACCTAGGGAGTCTTCTCTACAAGTCTGTATACTAGCTAGTATTGGAACTGGCGGGATGGTTTTCTCTGTGAGCGGACCAAATACGCCAGTGCATTAACACACGTATTTAGTTGCATTCCCTTTGCCTTATGCTCCTACTTCTGTTAAGTTCTACACTCGTTGTCTTTCGTGTTTTCCCATGCTCTCGATACTCCTTACACTCAATTGCTACAGCGATCGACAGAAAAACAAAACTCAGACGATTAAAAATGGTGAATGCAAGGAGATTATCCAAAACTAATAATTCAAAAAAGGGAAACCTTTTTAGACCTTTCCAGGAACAGAAGTAACACTTATGGTATTTTTTGTGTAGTAGAACATAATTGACCAATGAGATGAAGTATACCTTCTGTTTTTCTTGCAAGTGGAATCCCATCTCACTCTCTCTCACGATTTTCTTTTCCGAAATGTCATCCAATGTTTCTTTGCTTTGAGACAGATCCAGTGCTTCGGGAAATTTTGACCTGAATACCTGAACAGGTTTAAGAAATGTTCTTGGTGCCCATCCCTCTCCGATTTCCTTTTTCACATACCACCAACCACTAGAAAGTTTCTCGAGGACTTCGACTTCTTCTTCGGATTGAAGAGACACCTCACTACTTTCCTCCGCAACATATGACGAGATAGCCAAATACTTTGTTCCTCTGGGGCTATTTTCACTTTGAGCTGATTTCATTTGGATACAAGGCTCCTCTATTCCAGATCTGGTTTCTTCTGTATCTCCAGTGGTATCTTCACCTCTGGAGTGATTCTCTTTCGTCTCGCTAGGAGGCTGAATGCGCGGCGCATCAGCACTTTGGGAATGTTCCGCTTGGGTTATGTTTGATGTAAAGTTTAAGTTGTTCTTGAACATCTCGGCAATGCCAACACCAACGCTAAACTGTCTATTTGTCAAGACTGGTGAACGAGTAGTGTTTGCCTTGATACCTGGCTCAAAAGTGGTTCTCCCGAACCGACCACGTCGTGGAAGACTCTTGCTTTTGGGCTTTAGGTCGTCTGGAAATAACTCTGCATTGTTCTTTCTATAACCCAGCAATGGACTCCTCGGTAAGGTTCGGAGAGGATCTCGTCCTAAAAATGGATGGTTTAAGAATAGTTTTCAGGACAATGGATTTTTATTGAAAGAGGAAATACCATAAACGGTCAAAAACGACTATTTAATTCAATCTTTAAAAATTGGATACGGATAGAATGAATAATGAATGAATGAACGGACGGACGGACGGACAGATGTATAGATGGATCGACGGACGGACGGACGGACGGACGGACGGACGTACCGTTGGATGGATGGATGGATGGATGGATGGATGGATAGAGAGTGGAAATTGGACATTAATCATAAGATTTACGTACCACTTAAAACTTCAACCACTTTATTGACTTTTTTTAACTCTTCCTCGTTTTTTGACCTAAAAAAAAAATGTATCATTAGATTCTAATGTTCCAGTCAATCTTTAGTTAAAAGTATAACTTTCTTCGGCCAGACCTTTCACATGTGGCTGTTGTTTCCAAAAAGGCACCAAAAAATTTGTTGACGCTTTCTGAATTTCGGACCACAGCTGGAAGGATGAGCAAATCCTACGAATACAAAAAAGAGTTGTTGTTAGAGTCATGATGTAGGAAAGGTTTAGTCTGAAACATTGTAGGACGGTCTATAATAATCCGATTCGGCCTGGTTTCTGTCCACCTTTATAAACCTCTCATAACTAAGTTAAATTCCAGTTTATATATCTAACTAGGTGATAATCCCACTATTGAAAACTTTAATAACGGAAAGCATGGGAGTAGTCCTGACTCTCCTGGTAAAATGAGCAAAAAACTGAAACAATTTCTTTTCCAGACGTGTTATGCGCATAAAGGATACTGCCAAATCACATTTCACGTTCACTGTTTTCCTGAAATTAAGAATACCGGTTTAGTGTTAATCTAGGATGTAGGTTACAGGAAGCTCAGCTCATTAGCTGGAGCCGGCAATTAACTGGGCTTCCCAAATTTGATTTTGACTTCATAGAGAGTACATAAAAAGGATTATGAGCATTGTCCGTTTCAGGAAAGTGCCATAAAAGCGAGCAATTAAGATTCGCATTCTGTTTTAGCTCTTGGGTCACTTGTCGACATGACTTGGGTATGGTGCCGATGATCTTTGCTTCACACCCTACAGAAAAAATTTCTCCTCTATCCTAACCAACCTATGTTTTTTACCTTGATAAACTTTTCCAGTCTCTCAATCTTTTTCAAATCTTCCACTTTGAAGAGACTTTGGGAGAAGGAATTATTTAACTCTGCAAGAAAAAAGAAAAGTCTTTTCAACTAAATTATGTAAAAACGTTGTAAACACAGGGCCTCAATTAACGTGCATTTTATTTTCTATTCTATATTCGTAGCTTTTTCTATTGCACTTTATTGACAATAACAATGGTGACAAAAAAAGGAAAAAAGAAATTCAAAAACAACAACAACACTATAAGGTACTGCAACTTACGAGTTGCAACATTTCATTTGTTCGATAATTTGCAGATAAATATTTGTGTTATTTTTAAAAAATAAGATGGTCGTTTTTACAAATGACCACTCCATAAAATACCATAAAATACCAAAATGCTCTTTGTTTGTCACCCCAAAATTTTGCATAAGGATTGTTTTCAGTTTCTCTTAGGGCCATTTTAACTCCCAAAAGAAACTAAAAACAATGCTTATGCAAAATTTTGGGGTGACAAACAAAGAGCATTATGGTATGTTATGGTATTTTATGGAGTGGTCAATCGGAAAAACAAAAAAAAATAAAAAAGTTGCAGTTTTAAAGACGTTTAAACTGTATAAAAATATTTTGAGAATGGTTGAAACTGCATTTGCTTTAGGTGATGTTTGAACTCTTCAAAAACTTAGGACTGCTTTGTTATAAACAAGAATAGACTTTTGAGGAAAAAACAAGCGGGTTTTACAAAATTGAACAAACTACTGACTGCACTAGAGTTCGCCTCGGCATTCTATTACTGTGGCTTAAAGATAAAACCAGGAGAAAATAAAAGCCTGTTTTGAGTTCTCTCAGTGATAAAACTTAGTTCGCGAACCTTGCATTCGATAAGAAGTCTTCAATTTCATCTAAAATATATTTCATGATGGTTAAACAATCTTTTGATAGTCTCAGTCAGAGTATTTGGATGCAAGATTTTAACAGATGTTAACGGTTGCTGATCACTTAATGAAAGTACATATTTCGAGAAAAAATTAGTATTTTGCCGTTTTCCTTTCAGAGCAGTAATCATGATTTATAAGCATATCAGTACCACCCAAAGAATACCTGGTAAGCTTTTGACAAGAGATTTTGCAGTCTTCTTTGAATAACCACCCTTTTGCTTGAGTAAGTCATAAACCGTGCCCTGAAATTAAAGGAAATTTTAAAAGGGCTTAGGCTTACAATTTTCACAGCATTAATAACTTCCTGAGGATATATGAATGGAGGATGGAAGTTTTATATGGAAATCAGGTCAAGTTGTATCTATGATAGAAGCTATTCGCACTCAATTATTACTTAGTATTATTATTTATTATTATCATTATCATTATTATTATTATTCATACTAACTGTAGCTGTAGTTTGTTATAGAACATACAGTTTTTTTTTGTACTGGTTATAGTTCAGCAATAAAATAATTTTCTCATATCCACCAGCAGCTAAAAGGATCGAAATTGAATAAGTGGACCGAATGAAGTACGTCTTAAGAGAATTGAGATCACAGAAACAGCGTGCACTAAGGACGCTTAATAAAGTGTTGATACAATGGAGCACTCGGCGGAGCGGCAGCATGAAAGCTTCGTTAATAAAACAGTTTAGAATTAAATAAATTTCCGGCTACGCTAGTTTAATTGGGAATAGAGGAAATAACTACATTTACTAACACACTTCAATCCAACAGCTTCATCGGGTTTTTTAGTCAGGAGCGTTTATTGACAAGTGATTTCTTACTCCCTCTATCTCTTGGCATTCTTTATGAGTGACTAAACACGGGAAACAAACTGGTCACTCGAAGTGGTAGGTAATGGACATCATTCAAATAAGATACGGCTTCCTCGTGTACCGAGAACTGATGGGGGGTTGCGTATAATTATCTTCTTGAATCTCAGTATTACTCGGACTCTGGTGCATATCCTTACATTAGCGATCATAATGATATTAAGTAATACGATACCAACCGTTGTTACGTGTGCCATCATGTTACGTAACATGTACGTGTATAGGCTCTTTTCATGACTTGATCACGTGATCAACTTTCGGTAAACACGAAAACAGTTCACTTTTGGAAAGTTTTGTAAGCACAAGCGGAAAGAGCATATTAAAATTAGGTAACATGAGGATTTTCAGCCGTTTGTGTCAAAAGTAGCGATTGCAACGGCAGGTGAAAGTTTTGCCATCCAGTCACACTTTCATGGTTTCCCATACAAATCTTTAAATTCCAAATTTTCAAAACTGTCATAAAATATTTTCTTAAGCAATACAAGGCTGAAATCTCCTTTTACTTCATAACAGGCAATTCGAGCCCTTAAATGCGTAAGGGAAAGATTTAACGACAGTTCGACATTTTTAGAATCCACAAGGATAGAAAACCATGCATGCGTGACTAGGTGGCAAAAGCAGGAGCATCAAATGATGGGCTCCTGATTTGATGGGCTCCTGGCAAAAGTTGTTTTTCTTATACAAATGCTTCTAACTTTCGGCGGCCATTGCAATCGCAGCGCTTGAGATATTAGGCTTAAAATACTCAGGTTACCTAATTTTTATATGCTATTTCAGCTTGTGCTAACAAATCTTTGCAAAAGTGAACTGTTTCCGTGATTACCGAAAGTTGATCACGTTATCACAGTCATGCAAGGAGCCTATTGAATCCACAGTTAAGTGGACCCAGCACAAGAGTTCTTTGCTTGTTGAGCTTTTGAGTAACACACCTAAATGTCTTAGCGTTTGAAGCAAACTCTGTTCAAGTTGGCAAGCACTCATAAAACTTTAATGCGCGCATTTAATTCTTCTTTTCTGCAGAGATTCTCTGACAGCTATAGACTGTATTGACAATACATACGACTGTGAGAATTGAAGAATTGAAGTAATGATGACATTAATCGTTGCTGTTTGACGTCGTGTTCTTCGAAATGATGTATCGCATTTAACGGTCAGTTTTCTTACGGCTGGTTTTCAATTTTGATTTAAGAAAATCTATTTTATACTGTATGCATGTGAAATTAGATAACAAATTATCTTTTAAGGAACATATAAGTATCATGCTGAAGAAAGTATATTCCAAGATAGGCGCACTTCGCCGCCTTAAGCGTTTAGTACCGGCAAATACTATGTTACTATCTTTATCTTTATTAGTATACATGTAATTTTAATACGATTCTTAAATTTGCTTACAGACTTAACGCCTGCCTTTCCTTCCAATATTTGGACTTAAACCCAGGGTGATCTGTTAAGTCCAACACTCTCCAGTGAAGAATGGGAACTGGCGAACAGTTACTGTTTTCAAAAACAGACTATATATTAACTGTCATCTTCAATAAGCTCACCGGTAAACAATGCCCTACATCACTGAGTATCGCCATACAACTTGACATTTGGGAGTGGAAACTAGAAATATTTAGTTAATTCGTATCTCACTTCGATCAACTGAAACGCACCTGTAACTCAATGAAATCGTTATATGTTTTCCGTAGCGCCATTTTGCTCCCATCAGAGTACAGAACTGTGATTTTATATGCCTGATAGGGGGAAAAATGTAAAAATTAAGATATGAAGTCCAGTTCCAGACAGAAACTAATAACGCTTACCAGAGTACTGTCAGTACTCATATAGTTTGAACCAAGACATGTTTACTTTTTCACTTTTTATATCAAATGCATTTTCTGTCATTCGTTTTCCACAGAATAGATACAAGTTGCAGTATTACACGTAAAAGCTAGTCATTTACGGTTGGTCTTCCAATGTTGTCGCTTATTTTTTATTACATCTTCTCAAACTCATTAATAATTCATAAAGAAAATTCAAAGGAAATTAATGTTTAATGAGTGTTTGGATATCAGATGAAAAACTGCTCATTTTTGCATCCTTAATTTCTCCTTCAAAAATGATTTTGTTTGAGAAGAAATATCAAACATTCGAAACAGTGTTTCATCACCAGATGAAACACCTCGAAGTTCGTCAAAAATACTCCGCTGCGCGTCGTATTTCAACTCTCTTCTCGGTGTTTCATCTGGTGATGAAACACTGCATCTCATGTTTGATATATTACATGAAACACTGCGTCTCATGTTTGATATATTACATGAAAGAAACTTCCTTATTGCCAACGTTGAGATCGAGTGCGCCATTAACTCTACTGATTTTTACCTCAGATCTTTCCAATCATTTATCAAGCCGTCAGGGTTTCGCGAAAACACGGTATTTAAACACGCAAAAGCAAAGAAACGACAAACCTCAGGGACGGTTCCATTATTTTTCGATGGAAAAGTTCCAGTAACAGATGCTTCAAACACTGTCTTCCCCTCTGCGGACATGTTGCAAGTGACAACGACAGCTCCGTTCAGAGAACTGTACTTAGCTATAAGATCAGTGTATTTATGTGTAGGCCTCCTTATACAAGTCCTTGACTCAGGTGGCTGGACATAAACAAAGGAAGCTGTTTGGTGTGGGTGAACAAAATAGATCGATTTAGGGTGGGTCTGATCGATCGTATTACGTAATAAGGATACGCAAGTTTTGTCACAAGTCTTTCTTGACTTTTGGAGTTATACTTCGCAATACTTTTGTTTCAAGGAGCATTATAGGCATAGTAATGCAATGAATGCAAAACTAGAGTTAAATCCATTTATTCTTGATAACAATCCGGAATACGGTTCATCAAGTAAGACCTTGGCCTCTTCATGTATAAAGTCGAGCATGCATGGAGTGACAAGACATTGTAGCATTAATATAGCGGTTTGACCTAGTGTACCCTGTAAGAAGAAAATATTTTTTATGTTGTCCCTTTTAGTCCACCATGAAAGGTTTATGCAAAGAATAAAATGCCCAACCAAAGAATTAAGCGCCTTAAACTAAGAACTGTTATTTTTTACTTCCAGCTAATGTTAAAACTATGTTCTCTGACGAATGTGAAATCTTTATTAATTGCCCTCTAGCTGCGGCCAAACTCTTTCGCCAAACTCTTTTTTTTCTAGTTCAAGGCTAGCTGGGTTATTCTGATAAACCTTGCCCTAATTCTAAGTCAAATGAGATTATGTTATGGCGGCTTTAGCTTAGCTTGCAACTTCCTCCCAGACAATGAAACACTGAACTTCCTAGCTGCCGCTGGCCTACGCATCCTATCTATGTGACGTCATGCAGCTGGTAAGGAGCGTTATATGTAAAACCCCAAGAAACGGCTTCCTCGCTTAAGTTGCGAATTTGCTTTGAGTCAGCTGGAAATTTTCTCCCTGGTGTCATTTGCGGACTCATTCTCAGAGTGAACGTTTTACTCGCAATGATTGTCTACGTAGTCAGTTCAATATTTCTGTCATGGGCCAGTGCAAATCTGATTGGCAATGTTTCGGCGGCCGCTTGCAAAGTGGCCATCAAAATAACATCTGGTCTGGCAGCAACATTAAGTGAAACGGTTAACTCAAATGCTCAACAATGACGGGCAACTCCATAAAAGAAACCTACAATCTTTTAGGGCCCTGTGTACATGTCGCCATTAAAATGCATTTCCTTCATGCGTGATAACATAAGAATAACTTTTGGCCCAGGTCAGGGGTCAGTATTTGCGTCTATACGGTACTGATTCCTGTTCCTGTTTTTCACAAAATACAAAAGACAAAGTTTAAGAAAAGCTTTACACTTTACTTCAAAAGGTCTTGAGTTTTAATCATTTCTGTATTATTTCTATGTTACATAGAATCTCGTACTCACTGTAGCAAATGCTGTCCATTTTAAACATGAGCCGAGGAAGTGAATTTTAATTTGATCTTACAATCAAAACCCTGAATCATTAGTTACTTCATTCATATAACAAACGAATGACTCAAACGAGGCACGTCTTTGTTTTCAACAAACAGTTTAATTACAAGAGAAAGTTATTTTTGCTAGGAAGGAAATCGAATCGCGGGTGATGTTATTATTGACAAATACTTAACATGGTTTACAAAGCATCCAGACTTTGTTCACGAAACTATGCTAATATAGAGTTATTTCGAGACAGGTTGTCCGAAAAATGTGCAGGCGACAATCTCGAAAGGTAAAATGGGGTGTGCTCAATACACTGTTGTTGCGTTTCCTTTAGCACTAGCAGACATATGTCCAAGGCCTCACCTCACCACTCCTTCAAATTTTTTTTGAAAAACCCACGGTAGTGAATTCAAAACCACCACCAATACCGTTCGGGGTTGTAGCGTGCACTTTATCCTACAACCTTCCTCAAACTAGCTGTATGTCAACAGTTACTATCAAATAATGAAAGCGGTCGATTGACTTACTTCAGGGTTCCCACATATGACTTGTTGAAAACTATTTCAGTATTATTTCAAGTTATTTACAACTCAAGTACGAGACCCTTATTATTTATGATTTTTTAATTAAAATTTTTGCAAAAGATGACCTTAATTGACACTGGTATAAAACCACAAAGAACTCTGAATACAAATAAAAAGCAAAATAATTTTAGGTATGTATCATATATACTCAAAAACGTCTACCACAATTGTGCCTAATTGTGCGCGGAAAAAAGGGGATAAAGAAAGCTCTGCTCGTGTAGAAGGTCACGCGCAAAGGGAATTGCCGATTACAATATTGGTTAGCCTGCGTAGCAAGCGTTTCCGTGCGGTTTAGGACCAAAGAACGAGGAACGAGAGTCAAACACCGCGAGACAAATTTTGGCTCTTGTTTCATTTCTCGCGCGGCCAAAACCGAGAATCCCGTTCCTCGGTCTTTCTTTGCTCCGAAACCAAACGGAAACGCTTGCTACGCAGGCTAAATTTTGGTGGATGGACACAGTTTGATAGGTTGTGGCTCCTTACCATTCATTGGGGCGTTATTTAAGACTCGTTGCAGGTATAAAGCTCAATTTTGGTACAAACGAAATATTCTTACAAGACCTTACGTTAATACGGTTAAACGCAAGATTTCGATCTTTACCATTACTTGGCTTTACACTAGAAGTTAAGCACTTGATTCAAGTGCACTTGAAAATCCTACGTTGCTCTGTAGAAAACATGGCTTCACACTTGCTGACGAAGTATATTACTTAAAAGAAAAGCTGTCAATCTCTTCGTTTATTAGAATCTTGAAACCGCGCCTGCACGCACGTGCACATGGCTTCCATTTCCTATTTTTAAGTGATTTCTCAAGTGTGGTGTATCCCACACTTGGCGGCGAACTTCGGCATCTTTGAACTACGAACGTTCCACGGTCACCAAGTAAAGTTAAGGTACACATTTTACCCCTTCACACTCAAAGTAGGTTCCAAGTGCACTTGTACCACGGATGATTGAACACAAGCTTTAAATTTTGAATTTATTATGTTTGCGCAATACCCAGCCAGTCTTTATGAAATTGCGCGGCACTGCTTACAATAAGTAAGCTTCATTTTAAAAAAACAACTGAGTCAAATTGGAACAAACTGGTTTTTTTTTTATTGCTCTCATGAGAAACTTGATTGTGTCACAAAACTCTGTTTGTTCAAAGTTTATTTTGAGACTTTCATTGTCTGGAGTGTGATATGAACAGGATTTCTGCCAAATTTCGTCAGATATTAGTCGGTGGATTTTAAAATATTGTCATTTGTTGACATTGCTTATGAAAACCAACAAAGCGACTTTACGTTCGCGCTCTCACATTTGTTGAAAGTGTGCGCTAGCTGAGATCACGCGATATGGTAAAGGCGAAGAAAACAGGGGAATAAATTTACATCAGCAACTACCCTAGCCTGTTCCAGGCGTTCAGATAGTGAGGAGCGGTGCGAAGTAAAAAGGAGCGCGAAAAAATAAAAGCGAGGGAGGAGGAGAGGTGAGCTCTCTCCCCAGTCCCCTCTACTTTTCATCGCTTTCTTTACTCCACACCGCTCTCCACTATCTGAACGCTTGGAACAGGCTAGCAACTACCTGGCATAAATCGAAGCTTGTCCTCGCACTTTTCTTTTTATTTTCTCCCCTTCCTCTTTAAAAGCTTACTGGCAACACAGTTGCTCCTCAGAAGGCGTTAACAAAAACACAGTAAAGGGATAAAGCATTTCGAGAGAAACTGTGTTCAGCCACCTTAGATTACCTTGCAGTAAAAAGAGAGAATGTAAAAGTGATAACATGAAATATTACTAAAAGCTATAATCACACAGAAAATTTCTAGCTGCATCCAGCTCGAAGGTCCACCGAGTAGGAGGCAGCTCGGCCGAGTGGTAAGAGCGCTGGACTTGCAATTCGGAGGCCTCGAGTTCCAGGCCCGCTCTGACCACTAGCTTGATTTGTTCTCCATAACGGTCCCGAGTTTAAATCCTAGGCAATGCTTGTAAATAGCCAAATGGTCTGCCTCCGGTCAATTGGGAAGGATTGTTAACGCCATTATGTTTGATTTTGAGTTATTAACGTTTCAGGCATTTGCTCGGCCCATAGTATTAGTGCTATAAATACCACCGAGGGTAAATAACGGGATTATGTATTTATTACATATAAAATATTCAATGAACATGCGGCCCACTTGACTAACAAGCAAGGGTATGAGTAGAGATAGGAAACCGGCTATGAAACCTATGATAAATATTACAGTGGTTTGAGAATCAGCGCTGGTACTCGTCCTTCTTCCACTGTTGAGCCGTTCGAATCATCCGTCTCTTGTTTCGAGGCGCTAGAAAAGATGACTGTCGTGTTACCAGGGCCACACTGTGTCAAATTTATCGCATTAACATACTTTAACAAAGGAGGATAAGTAGAGGGAGGAACATATACCATGGTAGCTGCGATATAATCCTGACCAGCTGTTAGACGATATGGTTGGTCAAAAAACACATTCAAGTATTCTACGCCCTCAAAGGTGTGATTGCGGGATGCCGTGGCGATCAAATTTCCCTGTGTGTCCGTTAAGTTAATGGTTACAATGACGGAGATTCCAGGTGTGAAGGTTGCACCTTCCATGACACTAATGATGTAGTGGTCTGAACTGATTGAATAAGTAATCTTATCAAATTTGCCTTTGTTCAGCCAGAATATGTCTGGATGATAGAAGTTTGTCCTTTGACACCAGAAGTAACCTGTTAAAAAATGATGTACGTTTAATGTTGTGTTCACCGACTGACCACGTGTTCTCTCGTTAAAACAACAGTACTCTGTGTTGCTGATTAAAGAAAACGCCCTTCTCGTGCATTAACCAAAATTAAAATTAAAATTCACCACCGCATTTCTATCATTTCGCTAAAGCACATATCGGTATTTCAGTCCTGGCAGTAAGCAAATGAGCCTTAACAACCTTGGTCAAAACATTTTGGGACACTTGAGGAAATAGGCCGGCAAAAGACTCACTTTGCTAAATTAACTCATGTTCTACCTCATGTTCTACCTCCTCGGGGGGAGGGGGCAGGAAAGATGCCTCAATTGGACAAGCACTTGTGTTAGTGTCCCTAGAGTTTTTACCAAGGTTGTAGTTTAGTGGCCTTAGCTCCCACAAGTCTCCTGTAGCTCAATGGTAGAGCATCTGGACTAGCAACCAGAAGGTCATAGGTTCGACTCCAGATGGTCAGCGGTCAGCGATCAGCGATGATGATGGCCGTGTCTTTTGAAGCTGGCTAGTTTGGTGTTATTTACTGCCTTTTTTGTATGTTTAAATAGGTTAGTTTTTCGTGTAAGAATTCCTGTTGTTCAAGAAGGTACTTAAAAAATGTTATCTTGCTCAATACTGACTTAAGCGTGTGTCTTAATGAATAACAAAGCTGTAATAGAATAAAGTCAATCTTGTTAAAGGGCCATTATTAGTTTTACTATAATGTGCCCTTCTCTATTCTAAATTTTTCTTGCTAACATTATGTACAGACCCTGTACACGTAGTTTAATCAACTTTCTACTAATTAATATTGTACAACTGATGTATTATTTATAGAATGGAGTAAATAAAATACAAAATACAAATACCCCTGTTGGGAAAACTAAAAATTTTTAAGCGCCTGTGTCACTGACTGAAATAAATCTTTGCCATAAACAGAAAAAGGCTGCATGCAGAGTGAGCGACAGCATGCAGTTTACTGATGATAGTACAATCTAAATTAAGAGTTATTACCCACCTAATTCACAGTAAGCGCCACCATAAGACAATGGACAAGAGCAACTGTATCCGCCTTGACTTGAAGGAACACACGAACCTCCGTTCATACAAGAATTTTTCGTAGCACAAACTGATATATCTTGAAATAAACAAATGTTTAAGTAAAAAAAAAGTGAGAGAACGTCATATGCTGGGGCTAAGTACCAATCAACAAGGTTTCTCCCTTACAATTGGACGTATCATTTGCTATATGCGATACAGTAAAAACCCGCGTATAAGAACCTAGGTTTTTTCAAGTTAGCCTAAACAGGTTCTTATATAAATGGTATTTAGTGTAAAATTAGGCTAACTAGGTTCTTAATTAGGTTCTTAACTTTTGTTCAAGAAATAAAGCTGAATTTTTAAATGATCTGGTGTTTAATGTCCAATAACAGTATTCTTGGAGGCTATACTATTTTAATCTGATTCTGTTACAATCAAACCTATGGTAAAGTTTTATGTAACCATGCTATAGTGTTTAGAGTATTATTGCATACAGACTGTGTTATATATATATATATTTTTTTTTGTTTTGTTTTGTTTTGTTTTTTTTGGAAAGTAAGAACCTGTTTTAGGATTTTAGCCTAAAAGGGTTCTTATGTGAAGGGTGCTTAAAAATGAAATTTTAGCCTAACAGGTTCTTAAATGTTAGGTTCTTATACGCGGGTTTTTACTGTATGCATATCAGAGATTTCAACTGTTACACATGCAAGTATGACGCAGGTGAGTTTAACTTTTCAGGTCTTCGGGACTAGAATCTGCAAAAAAAACTTTGCTAACGACTGCAAACCATCTCCCTACAACGGTAGGCTACCTTTCGCGGATATTGAGTTTTGCATAACATTTGTTAATTATCAGTCTTGTGTGTATAGGTAAATTGTTTGGTTTTTTTGTTGTTGTTGTTGTTGTTGTTGTTTTCACGTTCTTTATGTTATTTCGGCCATTTTGTCGTGCCTTTTTAATTTTGATCGAATACATAGTCGTAATAAGTTCTCAAATTTAAAACCCAATAAATGTTCAGTTTATGTTGGAAATTAGAATCAAATTCAATTAAAAATATTTCTTACATTACCTGTTCCACACCTGTCCCCAGTAAATCCCTTCGGACATGCGCACACGTACGTGTCATTTTCAAAGTCCGAGTGGCATCGAGTATAGTCAGGACATGGAAATCTTGAGCAGGGATTCTATTTTATAAAAAAAGAAAAAAACGTTTGTCTTTTTTGGTTTCTTAGTTTTCAAGAACTATATGGTTGACACTTTTTCTTTAAAGCGACTGTATACCATGATTATGCATTATACCATGCATTATACCATTTGCGGACAGGCAAAGAAAAAAAAAAAGTAAAGAAAGCTGCCTTTTAGACCAACAATCGATTCTTATTTAAACCTCCTTTGTAGCCTTACTCCGAAATGATCAACCACCTTTTGAAGTAGGTAGTGGTTGTCCTCACAGTTCACAGTTTTACTTCACTAATACGACCAGTCGAATACCGTAAATCCTCTATTAAGCCCCCTCTCTCAAATAAGTCCCCCCCGTTTTCAGGGGAAAAAAGATAATAAACCTCTCCTCTCCCCTCTCTTATAAGCCCCCCTCCCCTCAAGCTTATTATTCTTCACTAATAGATGACAGATTGTATAAACCAATCACGACTGTAAAACTTCATTGAACTGATCCGGGATGGTTTATTGACGTGCTGGAAGTTCGGATTTGTTTTTGATCCTCGGCTGCATTACCTCCAACTTCTTGTACTTTTCTAGTTCTTTATGGAGAGCTGATACAACATCTTCGCTAAATTAAAAAAAGCCCCACGTCTCTATTAATTCTCCCCTCAAAAGTAATAAATTCTGGTTTCTGGAAACCCAGTTGACAAACTATATAGATACGGATACAGTGAAACTTTCTTTCTTATTTAACCGCGTTGTATTGTTATTTTAGTTTGAAGTAATCAGTTTTTGTCTTATTTTATTACCACAAGTTTGTTTTCATTTTTCCCCTCTCAATCAGAGCGTTTATGCTATTAGCGTTTATGCAATATTATGATAATAAATGTCTTGTCTTGTCTTGTCTTATACCTGTAACTAATTAACAGAGTTTGTATTTACTTTGTATCTGAACTATGTGGAATAAAATTGTTGTTGTTGTAGGTATTAAAGTGGCTTATTTAAGCTTTCAGGTGATAGGTGTGAGATCCGGTAGGTTGATATTAGGATTAACTTATATTTGTATTGCCCAGTGGAGCTCGTACAACTCTTAGAGCTGTATTAAGTACCTGTGAATAAATAAAGCCCTGTTTTGTAATCCATTCCATCGGTTGTCTGATAGCATCAGAATCGCTCAGCTCACACACATGATTGCCACTTTCGTTTGCACCGAAGTTGTAAGACTCACAGTTAATCTCAAAGTAACACCGTAGCTCACAGACGTCTGCCGACGTCACCTTTGGCGTCCTAATCACTTGGTTTATTAGGACCTTGTTGGAAACTGATGGTAGGAATATTTTCTTTATACATGGCACTACATTTAAAAAATCATCTCTTAATAAATTTAACACAGTAAAAATCACGGATAAAAACGACGTTTCGACCGATCTTTGGTCATTTTCAAGTAGGTAAAGAAAAGGTAAAAGAATTAGCATATATATGTGTAAGGTGCTATAAAAATGTTTGAAAATGATAAAAAAATGAAATAAAGCATGCAGGAAAAACAACAACAAAATAATCCAATTAAAAGAGCTATTTAAAAACTTTTGCACGAAGTGAGTCTGATTGAACATTGAGACTAGTTGTCAGTTCATTAATGACAAACATTTCAAACACCAGGCAGTCAAATTTGCTTTTATACTTCTTAATGAAGTGTAAAAGCAAATTTGACTGCCTGGTGTTTTAAATGTTTTTTATTAATGAACTGAGACTTAGTCTCGATGTTCAATCAGACTCACTTCGTGCAAAAGTTTTTAAATAGCTCTTTTAGCTAGGTACTATTGTTGTTGTTTTTTTTCTGCATCCTTTATTTCATTCTTTTTTCATTTTCAAACATTTTTTATAGTTCTTAACATGTTTTTACATCTTACACATGCATATGCTAATTCTTTTACCTTTTTTTTACTTATTTGAAAATGACCGAAGATCTGTCGAATCTCGTTTTTTATCCGTGATTTTTACTATGTTAAGTTTTAGAAAACCCTTACTTATAAGAGTTCTTAATAAATTATACTCTTAATTTTTCAGAATTTTTTTTTTTTTACCTCAGACGACGATGGTTTTCATCCTAAAAGACCGACCTTTTTTACATGCTGTTTCGTTTATTTAAAGAAAATGAAGGAGTATGGAATATTTCCTTATTCGTTTCTTCATATATTCGATGTAAGAAATCAAAGCATACAAAAGAAAAATAAAACAACATCTAGATTGATGTTTCTTATTATGGCCGTTTACACGAGAGAAAATAAGCCGCGGCTTATTTTCTCTCGTGTAAACGGCACTAATGTGTTGCAAAATTCGTTTCTCCCTTTTTTTTTTCACTCTGCATTTTACAAAGATCAATGTTTAATTCAAGGATTTTCAGATATACTTTTCTGTAAACTCACTAGTTAAGTCCCAGAGGAAAAGACTTGCAAAAGGGCAGAAATGATCTAGTTTTCTCTTAGAATACTATGAATATATAAGAAAATGGAGGAAAAATAATTCACAAGTTGCAGTTTTGACATTGTTAATCACAGCATTTCTAAGCCATCAGATTCCTAGTAAGACAAAAAGTTTGCAAACACACGCACAGAGGAGAAGT